CTGCTTCCTGCTGAATGGGGGCGCTGTTAATCAGATCATTTAGGGTGTAACCTGTGTGTCAGGTTTATCTCAGTTGCCAGTTGAGTAAAGTAATTTTTTGATGGTGTTCACGGGAACTTTTCAGGAGGTCGTGGTCTATCATACCAAATTGGGATAGAAGAAATCCACAGGGTCTGGTCCTCTGTGAAAACAAAAGAAGACCCTTTTAGTGATAGATCTGCTGTTTTGGAAAGTGTGTGTTTAAAGTTGGTAGGTCATTCCTCAATAGGTCTATTTTCTTGTTTTACTCTTACAGTGTATGCAAGCCTTGTTTGTTTGTATTTTCTGTATTATTAATGTTTTGGGTTTCTGCTAGCCTGCTTTAGCTGTTTAAGTTTTCTTGTTTTTAAAAATATGTGTTCCTAAGGGGAAATGATGGTTGTAGTTAAATATATAAAGGTAGTGTAAAATTTATTAGAAAAGGAGGTCAAGTATAAATACCATGTGTAGATATAGTGTGTATCTAAGCACACGAAAGTGTGCGCACCAGCAGTGTTAAGCAGGGTGTTTGAGGAAGCGCAACTTTGAGCAAAATGCCAGGAGCAAGGGCCAAGTTGCCTACATCGTGGTCTCTGTGTCACTGTTATGGTGACTCCGGAGCCCTAGAAAGTGAATGGGCCTCTTATTGGTAACAGTCTGTAAGTTTCCTTCAGATTCTCCAGTGCAGCTTGTCATTCACAAAAGGTTAAGAAGCACTGGCCTGGGCTGCAGAGATGGCTCAGTGGTTCAGAGTGCTTGTGGTTCTTCTGGAAGATGGGAGTTCAGTTCCCAGCACCACATTAAACAAGCTGTCTTTAACTCCAGTTCTGGAGATGTGATACCCTCTTCTGGACTCTTCAAGCACCTGCACACATGCGGCATACACATGTATAACATATAAATAGAAGAATAATAAATCTTTTTAAAAATGAAGTACCGACCTAGAGTTTGTCACACACCTGAGAAATTTCTCTTCTCAGAATGGCTCATCCCATGTATAAAGGTGTTGGGTAGGCGGCTAACTCGTACCCATTGCTGTAGCTACAGTCTCTCTTGATGTTGACCTGGGACAGACCACTCCCAACTCCAGCCATGTATGGGAGTTTTTCAAAACACTGACTTAGAAAGCTCACAGTGAGGGTGTTAGTGTGATTCCAACTGTGGGGACATGCTGCCTGTGACACTGTGGTTGCTGCCTCATCTGTAAATTCCTATTTAATTTACTTAAACTATGAAATGAATCTTCTTTCTTCTGTTGGTTGTAAAGGAAACAAATTTAAGGATAAAGTGGTTTGACTGTCTTTTTCTTAAGAAGTAACATACACTTGGCTGATCATTGTTCAAACCTTATCAAAATCTTAACTGTTAAAGTACAGTCAACATTGCCATTATCCAAAGTATGATTACTTATTTATTTATGTACTTTTTGGAGGCAGAGTCTCACCATACATCCCTGGCTGAATTGAAACTCACTAAATAGACCAAGCTGGCCTTGAACTCACAGAACTCTGCCTGCCTCTGCCTCCTGAGTGCTGGAACTAAAGGTGTGCATCAGCCTCATAGCTCTTAAATATCCCTGTTCAGAGGCTCTGTCTATGCTGGAGTTTTGTTGATTTCAGAAGATTTAGTATCAACAGAAAACTGAGCAAACAACCCTGTGTGTTAGCAGTGAGCCCTGGGTGGTTCTAAAGGCTCCCTGGGTTGTCAATGGGGAGTACAAACATGCAGCTTCGAGGGTGGCTTCTGTGTCTAGAGCCTGGGTGTTCCCAGATCTCTCTGAGCTGCTGGATTCCCTGTGATGTGGGGGGCCTGTCTGACCATCGGCTTTTAGAGAGTATGTCTGTTTACACCATCAACAATAAATACATCATTTGAAGAGCAGAGTGTGCAGACTGATGAGCTAACCCCTGTCTTGGCTAAGTTTGCTTTCTGTTTGAATTTCACTGTAATATGTGAGTTTCTAATACACACACACACACACACACACACACACACATTTAAAAATCAACTTGTCTTTTCCTTTGGGGAAGAACCAGTTGTCTGTCCCATCTTGCCCCATTACCTATTTGTTTTCTGTCACGTCACACACTGTAGATCCGAGTGTTAAGCCACTGCTCTCTGTAAATGCACATTCCACACAGTTGTGTAAAAACACATACCGCATATTGAGTACTGAGCTCAGCTAGATTGTGTGTGTATAGTACGACCTACAAACACTAGCTTTTCATGTCTGCTAAAATGAGATTATGTCTACATTGTAGAGTAGGATCATGTCAGCCCTAGCCCTGCCATAGGCCTAATTGCTGAAGTAAGTAACCACATAAAGTAGGTTCGTCTCCTGTTCTCATGGTTTGCCTTTTGGTAGATACATTAGAGATCAGAACATAATGTTTGCATTGTGGAACATGAGCAAATAAAAGTACACCTTTTCACCGTTGTGTTACTTCTCAAATTATAAATGACACACATTCTGTGACTATTACCAGTAATGCATGCCACATTAGTTTTATGAAATGTGTGTGCATGGATGTGCATATGTGTGCACACTTTTTAAATGAAGAACCTGGAGAAAACAACCAGGAGGCAAAATGATTTAGACACCGGTCTTGTGTTTGAATGAAGGTTGGGAAGTGTGACTGGGTGGGGCAGAGCTGGTGGCTGCAGAGAGGAAGGTTGAGAAGACATTTATTTGGGTGGATTGCATAACAAATTGTTATGCAGGTAGAGTAAATAACTTTATAAATAACATTTCCATCAGTCTTAAGATGGCACTAATTTAAAAAGTAGTGGGGACTGGAGAGACGGCTCAGCACTCTGGAGCACTGGCCTCTCTTTCCGTTCCCTGCCAAGATGTCATAGTCATCTGTAGTCCATTTCTGGGGAATCCAAAGCTTTCTGGCCTCCGTAGGCACAGGGCACACGTGTGGTGCACAGGTAGACTGCAGGCTATCAGCCATGCATGTAACAAATAAATCAATAAATAGAATAGTTTTATGCTGAAACGTAGTAGACCTCTGTAGACAGACTGTTAGCAAGGCCTCAACCTTATCACCCTTGAAGACAGGCCTGAGCTGCATGGGACCCACATGGGGGAAGGAGAGAACCTGCTCCCGTGGTTTCCCTCTGATGTCATTATGCACACTGCGGTACATGTGTGTTTTCCAGCACATATGCATGTGCTCTCACACACAGAACAAATAAATGATATAAAAAATCACTTTTGATGGATTATAGCATCAGTATTAGGTAAATAAGCTATAAATATACTGGAAATTTGTTTAGTCCTTATTTTAAAATAATTTAATTTAGAAAGCAAATTGATCTTGTTCAAATTTTCCTTGTTGCATTGATTTTTATATGCATCACTCTGTAACTCATGTAATTATACCTGTTCCATCACACCTAAAGACATAACTGTGAGCATATGCTTGCCTTAACAGTGTGCTCTTCTGACAGACTTCTTACCTATTTGGAGAGCTCTTTATACTTTGAGTACTTATAGATTATTAAGAAAAACATGATTTCTTACTCTTCTTACATGTGTAAAGAAACCTATAAATGGAGTATATTGGTGACTGTGTGCCTGAACCTTCCATGGCGCCATTGACTGGGTGCCATTCTGATCCCAGAGATGCTCCGGAAGGGAGTTTGCATCCTAGATGGGAATGGGTGTGGGGTTCAGATGGTGGTGCAGCCTAGGAAGAAGCTGCTAGGGTTGGACAAGCCAGGACAGACCAGGAGAGTCAGTTTCAAGAGCAGAGCTTTGGAAACATCAGCATTCATCTAGTTAGGTGAGAGCTTTCGGAGGAGTGGGCCCGAAGGCAGCTGTGTTCCGAATGCTCTAGGACGAGGGGCTGAGGCATGGCTGGCTAGTGGTGGTAAAATAAGCAAAAAGGCAGATGTGTGTGTTTCCTCTGAAGTTAATATCAAATCAGTAGAGCCTTGGCATTGGTTTGGAGGAATTATGTGAGGCTTCCTTTCTTTTTTACTGATTTGGAATGACTTCCTATGCTAATATGGCAGAGTAAGTGAATCATGATCGGTTGATCTGTGTGTCTTCAGTTCTGTTCACCTTCAGGGCATTCGTTGTGACAGAGAAGGAAGCCAGAGATGAGGTCAGCGCTCAAGTTTTGTTTATTGGTTGCCTTTCTGCTCTTTATGAAACTAATCTTGAGGTGCTTTAAGCATTCCTGGTTTTTTTGCATATGTCTGGGTGTGCATGAGTGCTTGCTCGTGTGTGAGCACATTTATGTGTTCAGGTGTGTGTCAGTGCGTGCAGAGGGCAGAGGGCAGCACTGGGGTCTCTAGTTTTTTTACTGTGGCAGGGTCTCGTGCCGAACCTGGAGCTCCCATGCTCAGCGCATTAACTAACTGGCCAGCAGGATGCAGGTCTTCCTGCCACCATCTGGCATCACTGGGCTCACAGTTGACCATCATGCCCACTTGACTGTGGGCATTAGGGATCTAGTCTGCTTGAGTGGCAAGGACTTTACCCACTGAGCGTCTTCTCAGCCCAGTGCCTCACGTCTGATGTCATGTCACCTCATTCTGCCAGAAAGAAGAGAGACCCAGGAGATTTTTTAACAATTTGCTTCTAAATGGGCAAATTTTGTTAAGACAGAGGCGGGCATTGGCTGTTCTCTGGATCTCAGTCTATGACACTTCCCATGCCATTTCTCCTTCTTAAAGTTGGAGGTGCTTACATCAAATTGAGGGGTTCAGTACATTTTGTAATGTCGAATTTGACTGTTTGGTGGTTGTGAGTATAAAAGAATACAAGTATATAGTAAGGAAAATGAGTATAATCATTAAAAAATGACCACATGTCTTGTTTTCATGACTTTGGAGTTTCAGCTTCTGAGCCTGTTTTGCTCACAGGGATAGCCTGCGTGGACATGCAGGTGAGGATCAGTCTGGTTTAAAACAGTGACTAGCTTCATGTTTTAGAGCTTCATACTGTTGAATTTTGTTCTTTTCTTTAGAAAAAATGAACACACCAACTCAGTCTCCTCATAAAGATGCAGGGAAAGGAGTGGAGACTGTGGAAGAGTACAGCTACAAGCAGGAGAAGAAGATCCGAGCGACTCTGAGGACCACAGAGAGAGACCATAAGAAGAACGCACAGTGCTCCTTCATGCTGGACTCAGTAGCTGGGTCTTTGCCAAAAAAATCGATTCCAGATGTGGATCTCAATAAGCCTTACCTCAGCCTCGGCTGCAGCAACGCCAAGCTGCCGGTCTCTATGCCCATGCCTATAGCCAGAACTGCACGGCAGACATCCCGGAGTGACTGCCCAGCAGACCGCCTCAAGTTCTTTGAAACACTGCGCCTTTTGCTAAAGCTTACCTCAGTCTCGAAAAAGAAGGACAGGGAGCAGAGGGGACAGGAAAACACGGCTGCTTTCTGGTTCAACCGATCAAATGAACTGATATGGTTAGAGCTCCAGGCCTGGCACGCAGGTCGCAGCATCAATGACCAGGACCTCTTTTTATACACGGCTCGCCAAGCCATCCCAGATATTATCAATGAAATCCTCACGTTCAAAGTTAACTATGGGAGCATTGCCTTCTCTAGAAATGGAGCTGGTTTCAATGGCACATCACTAGAAGGGCAGTGCAGAACCCCTCACACGGCAAACAGTCTGGGCTGTTCAACATACCACGAGCACCTCCAGCGCCAGAGGGTCTCATTCGAGCAGGTGAAGCGGATAATGGAGCTGCTGGAGTACATTGAAGCACTTTATCCATCCTTGCAGGCTCTGCAGAAGGACTATGAACGCTATGCGGCGAAAGACTTTGAGGACAGGGTGCAGGCGCTCTGTCTGTGGCTGAACATCACGAAAGACTTAAATCAGAAGCTGAGGATTATGGGGACTGTTCTGGGAATCAAGAACTTATCAGACATTGGCTGGCCAGTGTTTGAAATCCCTTCCCCTCGGCCATCCAAAGGCCACGAGCTGGACGACGAGGGTGAGGACACAGAGGGAGAGCTGAAAGAGCTGGAGAGTGGGACAGAGGAGAGCGACGAAGACCGGGCTCCCAACCCGCGGGCTCCAGAGTTCAGGCCGTCCACAGACAATTTTCTGGACGCCCACTCACAGGACTGTACCTCCAGGAGGCTTGAGAGACTCGAGTCTGAGGAGGATTCTGTTGGCTGGGGAGCAGCAGACTGTGGTTCTGAGGCCAGCGTCAGCAGGCATTCTTTGACTTCTATTTATAGACCGTTTGTGGACAAAGCGCTGAAGCAGATGGGGCTAAGAAAGTTGATTTTACGACTTCACAAGCTCATGCATGGCTCCCTACAGAGGGCTCGAGTAGCTCTGCTAAGGAGTGACCATCCAGTGGAGGTAGGTTTCGGTGGCTGCGATGCCAAGATACCACAGCTTTAACCCCACTTCCTGTGCTGTGTTGATCATGTGACTTTCATAGTTTTAGCATGGCAAAGCATAAATGGCAGGTATAGGTTGCATATATAATTATTACCATAAAGTACTATGATAAGAGGATCTGTTAAAAGCTCACCCAAGTTTAATGAACAGAGTGAAGGTGATTATGCGGATGGAAGACACAACCATGTACATAGCATCTGGAGAGCGAGGAGTGAGGTGTAAAATGAGGAGGTGGTCCTGGGCGACCACAAGCTGCAGCTAAGTCAGTAATAAAGTCGACGTCATACACAGGCATTTCAAAATGTCATGGCCTCCAGAGCCACTGATCAGCCCTTCATTCTCTCGCTTGTGCACTTGTCCTGGTCCTGCGGGGCCTTGTACATGGTAGGCAGGTGCTCCACCACCGAGCTGAATCTCTAGCTCTTTGGATTCTTTGAAAAAGCTCGTTCTGGGTTGGGATATAGCTGAGTGCTAAGCCCTGGGTTTAGTCTTGGTCTCTAGCATTGCAAAACAACAAAAACAAAACACCAGAGAACTCCAAACCAGAAATGGAAATAGCCTACCACCCTCCTGCGTAGCAAAGCCCAGTTTTGGTTACTGGATTTTCAAATGGTGCAAGGTTAGAAAGCAATGTAAGACTGTCCAGAAGGGGAGAGTCTCGACTATCTGTCAAGACTCGCGCTCCCAGTGCAGGCAGAGGGATTGGCGCTAAGTGCATATTTCATCATGTCCGCCAGAGGAATAGATTATAATTTGAGTTTGAAAGCTTGACATTTTAGAAATTCCTTACTGTTCAGGGTGGTAAAATTAGGAAGGGGTGTATTGTGGGGCACTGATACAGAGAGTCCAAGATTCGATTTATTGTGTAAGCCTGCTTGATTTAGAGTCAGAAATGACAGAAGGCATTTCCATAAGGCAGAGGACACCTGAAGAGAACCCAGGGTCTGCAAGCTCCGTGCTTGCATTCTCGGGGCAGCAAATGGAGGGTTCTCCCTTTTCACATGGGAGACGTTATAACAAGATTTCATCGTGCAGATTCCACAAAGCAAAGCTGTGGCTGTAAAATCAGGATTTTTTTCCAATCTCACATGGTGAGTTCTGTACTTTAGGAATTTATCAAGACACATGTAACAAGGCAGGGTTTTTTTTTTTTATTACAAAGTGTTTGTTTTGAGAATACGATTGTCAAAGACTGTAATGAGAGCTGCCTTCAGACAGCTGAAGTAGGAAGTACCCGCTGTGGCCGCTGGGGTTGTGCAGTGTCAGGTAGGCAGTCACAGGTGCAGCTGGAGTCCTGCAGCGAGGCCAGCCACACTGATGTCACCGTTAACTTGGTGTGAAAGTAAGAATTTGTATTCATCCCCACTTCAGGGACACAGTGCCTGTAAGTGGAGGTGTGCGTGCATGTGTGTGCCGTGCATACAGGTGCTTATATGTGTGTGCACATTCTCATCCTGAATTTATTTTGTCTTAGTCATGTTGCTAAGTAGTTCAGGGAAAGAGCCCCGGTTGTTTTCAAGGCTTGAGGACAATTTCATTAAAGTTTCAAAGAAAAACCCCAGGGTAGTCCAGCTGTAAGTCATAGCAGCTGCCTGGAGGAGGAAGACGGAGCAGAGGAAAGGGGTACACACCTACCCCCCCCCCCCCGAGTCAAGATGGCAGCTGCCTGGAGGAGGATGGAGCAGAGGGAAGGGGAGCACACACCCCCAGAGTCAAGATGGCATGGGGGAAGAGGAGTTCCAGAGAAAGAGGGAAACAGGCTGAGAGAGAGCAAGAGGAGCGCTCTGCTGAGCAACCAGAAGGGGCGACTTGTGGGGCTGCCTGCCGCAGCTGTGTAAGTGAGCAGCTGCCCAGGAGCCAGGCCCTGTCTCCAGACTGCCTCTCCTCACCACTGGCTCTTCTCTCTGGGAAATGCACGTGACCATGTCTTCCTGTCTACCCACAGAGAAGTCGAGGCCTCAGAGCATGTTTGTGCTTGTGGGAAAATCTGTATGCGTCAAATACAGACTCCTTTATTTTTAGGATTATTGTTACATTTTTTTCCCTGTCAAAGCTAAGTATAAATCAGTGCGGACTTCTCTCTATTTCTAAAATGTTATTTTCCCTTTAATCTCTTCCAAATAATGGTACATTGGAGGCATTCGAGGCTCAGGGGGAAATGCTCTTGTGGTGGTGAGGGCTGAGCCCTAGTACTTGCAACGGTATGCGAGCCTGTGCGTCCTGCTGCAGTGTTGGCAGCCTCTGGATTGGCTCATGCCGCAGACAGGGCAGAGCATGCCTGTAATTGCATTCTGTCTTTGTGGTTCCTGGGTGATATCATTGAAGGACTTTATTGAAAAGTTATAAAGAAATAACATTTATTTGTGATATTTGGTTTTTCTTATGTATGCTTTATATCTTTATTCTTTATGATTAAATTACTCGTAACCAGTGTTTGTAAATAGCATTTAATAACCCTTTTGAAGCGTACTTTACAAAATGCTTTTCTTCTAAGGCTTCATTGCATTTATTGTTTAAAAGAATTGCAGACTGGAAATGTTCCGAGTCTGCTTGCATTTACTCTAGTAACTTGGGCAGCATCCTTGTTAATGACCTGTGTGAACTCTGTTATTGTTGCTCGCTGCGGCTGCAGACTGACCTCCCAGCACACACCCTGACCCCACAGGCGCGCTCCAGTTAGTGGATGGGACTCCTGCCAGAGTTCACATGTAAGGCGCTGTTTGCCATCTGAAAGGGTGTTCTGTGAGACTCTCAGGTCCTCACGTGAAATGAATGTACTTAAACCCGAATGATCCACTCATAATGCCCCAGAACCCCCCAACGCCCGCCGGGGGTGGGCGGTGTAGTGTGAGAGGGAGGAAATGGAGGAGGCTCTAGTCTTCCCTGCCTGCTGCGCACCTAAAGCTGCCCTGAGGTCTTTGTTGTCTCCTCATTTATCTTCTGGGTCTCTTGCTCCTTTGCTGCTGAGCCTGCTTGACTCTCAGGGCCCTCTGCTTCCTCTCTCCTCACTGGGATCTAACTTTGCAAACGGCAGACCAGGCCCCCTGAGTGTGAGTGCAGTGCTCCAGTGTCCAGTGCCTGCCTTTCTGGAGACGCTGCCTTTGAGGACAGTGACTGCGGCCTGGCTGCTGTGCTGTCTTTGCTGCCTGGGCAATGTCTCTCGTGTACACACGGGTCTGTAGTTACTTGTCCATCTACCTGTAGCAGGGACGATGCCCTTGCTGTGGTACTAGCGTACCTCCAACTCTTTGCCCCGTATTTAGACTTTTGTTTTTTTCTGGTGAGAACCTGTCTTGTGTGCCTGTGCTCCTTTACCCCGTGAGGACTAAATGCGGAGCCACCATGCGGCGTTCAAGTGTTTCCCTTTGCCATTGTCCTTTCACAGTGAGGGCACTTTCCTAACGCTCCTCAGTGAGGGTATACACATCTTAGTACAGTGTGTGAGATATTAACACTGCACAGTGAGATTCTGTGTATCTTAGTGCAGTGTGTGAGATATTAACACTGCACAGTGCAGTTCTGTGTATCTTAGTGCAGTGTGTGAGATATTAGCACTGCACAGTGAGATTCTGTGTATCTTAGTGCAGTGTGTGAGATATTAACACTGCACAGTGAAATTCTGTGTATCTTAGTGCAGTGTGTGAGATATTGGCACTGCACAGTGAGGTTCCATGTGTCTTAGTACGGTGTGGTAGATATTAACACTACTTGGCTGCATTTGCTAAATTACCACAAACACTGAGAAAGTGCTTGGTTACTGTCTTAATTACTTTCTTAGATTAGAAATTATCATGTAATTATATGTTTAATGGCCAATAAAATACTGTTTGTCTTTGACGGTTAAACACTATGCCAGTCCTTCCTGTAACATAGGAAACCTGAAGAGCCCGCCTTTCTTTATGTTTAGAGTGGGTACAGCAGCAGGGATGAGGCTGCCACTCAGTCTTACCAGGTGACAGGTGGTGTCATTTCTCTAGTTTACCCCTGAGGACACTGGGCTAGAGAGGAGGTAATCACAAAATTTGTAGGTAATCTGCATATCACAGTGTTGTGGCTTGTTAGGGGAGCGTGAGCTATCTGACTTGAAGACGTGCCTGGTTCCCAAGCCTGGCTACACATCAACCTTACCCAAAGGCTTTAACAATACACACAGCACCGCCTGCCCTGGGTAGCAAATTAGCATCTTCTGGTGTGGAATGCAGGACTGACATCATGGACAAATCTGTGGTCTACAAGTAGCCAGGCTAGCCCAGTGCAGTTCTGAGTCACACTCCAAGTTCCAAGGAGGCTGTGGTTATCCTCTTGCTGCCATTTAGTGCCACGTACCTTCTGGGGAGCTGCCACAGATAACTTATTTGCTACAGTTATTGCCTGTCTGATTTCATAAGTAGAGTTACGAGACCCTTGGTTGAGTGACAGCTGGAAGCACACATCGCTCATTTGCCTAGAGGTTTTCTGTTTTAAAACAGATTTATCTGGGGGAGGCTGTGCCACATGGTCTGACAGCTGTGAGCCAGCAGAATCAGACCTGGCAGTGAGATGGGTCCCATGGTAACAGCGTAGCAACAGGGAGAAGAGAGCCAGTATCAGCCTGCGCCTGGGAGAAGGAAGGTCAAGTAACTTGGTCAAGGGTGCACATGCTTTATGCAGCAGCACCAGGATATGAACCCAGAAGTCTGGCTAAGCTATGCCTGCTCTTGGCAATACTATACTGCCTCCTAGAGTTAACACTTTGTCTCACATGTTTGTAAAGATAATATACCTATCGTATACACATATAATGCTGTCTTTTAACTTAGTGGCTAGTATTTAAGTGGGAGGAGTTCATCTGAAACTTTGGGTTTGGGTTTTCCTTTGGAATACCAGGGTTGTTGATTCTGGGCCTTATTCCTACCCAGGAACTGCTGGCTGGAGCTCACCAGCAGCATAAGAGTGAGTTGACCTCAGCCCCTCCCACAAACATCCCACTGTGCCCTTGTCTGCTGCCTACTTGGCTCCATAGGAATTTCACTTTGTGATGGCATCCTTCCGTAGCATAGTAACAAATCTGAGGACCAGGCACTTACTGACAGCAGAGGTCTGGGGTTAGATGTTTCATGGTGCTGTTGGCGGAGCTGGAGAAGAAGCAAGGTAGGTTCTTGTGGGAGTATTCACCATTAACTTATTGGTTAGACATCGACTCGGTATCCTTGCAATTAACTGGAGATAAACAGTCTTTTCCTCTGGACTGCTGCTCTACCAGGGAACTCAGGCTGGATATGGCTGAGTAACTAAGCATGAGTTTAAAGACATGGAGATTGTGAGAAATGTGCTTCCTGAGGCAGCCACAGACAACTGCCAGAGGTGGGCATCCGGGCCTCCTCTTGAGGAGGAGACTGGATCCTTATTGTCAGGGATTGACCTGTGCAGTATCACAGAGCCTGCTCGCTTCAGTCAGCACGGTGTAGGACGTTACACCAAACTTCAGGTCGGTAGAGTCAGTCTGTGTGGATATCAGACTTCCGGACTAAGTGAAGGCATGGCCTTCACAGCTACTAGTGTGCACTGAGTTTCAATTAGAAGGGCAAGGCAACCCTGAGAACAGAGCCTTCTGGGGCTAACTCAGGTCAGTGGGTTAAGATGCCAGGATCCGGAGCAGCTGGCCCAAGCCATGCTGTGCACTGGAAATGGGGAATGCAGGGACAGGGAGCCATCTTGAAGAGGGCAATTGACATGGATCATCTCGTCAGCAGCCAGGGTTTATTGTTAAGTCAGCTGTTGAACCCTGGAAAGTTATAGCTGGGGACATACAGCATAGATGAGACTTAAGATGCCTTTGCCTACATTTGCTCTAAACCAGAGGGTTGGAAGGCATAGCAAATGGTTCTTCTAAGTTCCCTTCCTGCAGTTTGCTCTATTTAATCTGTCTAATATGGACAGTGGTGGGGGGAGTGGGGAGGGGGGAGTATTGTGTTAAGGCTAGGCAAATACTTTATACTAAGCTGTAATTCCCAGCCCAGGTCTGATTTTAAAGGAAAGCAACAGCCTGAGGAACTCCTCGATGATTCCAGAACCATAGAGCTAATTAAATGACCCAAAGCCAGGCTTTCTGACTTTTGAACCTTGATTTTTTTTTCCCACCCTCATTGAACTCTGATATTTCTAAGATGGCAGTCAAAATGATCTCAAGGGATAGTGTGGTTGGCATGCTTACTTAGAAAAGTATCATGGCATGAATCTTGGGAATTAGGATGAGACAGGAAAATTCCTAGAGGAGCCAGCAGCCTGGGCCAAGGTCAACATGATGGACACGTGTGTGAGGGCCAAAGAAATCTTGTATGGGAGCACTGAGGAGAGATGAGGCCATCTAGGAGGGTGGGAGCTAGGCCAGGGCTTAGGCTGGTAGATGGAAGGAGGCCTGGAAAGGGTCAGGGAGTCTCCCGTAGCAAACCCCGAGTCCCATAGACTCTGGCTAAGGCTTCAGTTCAGGTGCCAGCGGGCGAGTCCTGTGAGTGTGTCTTGAGCTTGGCTCCTGTGAGAGGAACGAATGGAAGGTCAGGATGTGAGTGGAGAACAGCCCAGAGTTCCCTGAGTGACAAGGAGGGCAGGCGCCAGTGGTACCACAGGTGCAGAACGAGCTACAGCTGGAGATGCTGCAAGTTGAGAGTTTCAAACTTTGATGACCTCACTAAATAAAAGAGGTCAAGGCTTTTTAATACTGGTAATAGATGGAGGTGGAGGAGGAGATAGTGGAGGTGGTGGTGGCGGTGGTAGAGGAGGAGGTGATGTCAGAAGCTTAAGAACGGTGGGAGAAAGTTCTAGGCCCTCCACTTTCTAGGGAAAAGCCTCAGAATTTGGTTGGGGACAACTGAAGCAGTGGATGAGGACACCCAGGACATGGCAGGACTTCCAGGCAGCTTGAGGAGACAGGCGACTGAGGGCTGCTGTGGGAAGAAACCGTCTTCTGCAGCATCAGGAAGTGTGACTCCAATGAATGCAAGGTTGGCTGAACTCTGGCTTTTATTTTCATGAAAACAGCGGCTGAAGAGTTTTGTAATCTTGTTTTCTTGTAAGTTTAGCAAGTCCTTCATTTCTCAGTCTAGACATAATTGTAGATAGCACCGTGTGTAATGTGTCCCGATGGTTTTGTTTTTAAAAGAAGCTTCATTGTTCCGCCCTTGACGATAGTGTAGGTTAGATTTCTAACACACTGGGACTTGGAGGCTTTGTGTAAATGTTGGACTGTTGGAGATCCTTTTTATTTTAGAACAAGAACCCTGTAGATACGCCAACAGGTTGTAGCAAAGTCTACGAGCACAGCTTCGGGCAGTGTCCGCGCACGTTTTAATCTGTCTTGAACTTTCGCTGCAGTTCTCTGACTTTCCAGGTCCCATGTGGGGCTCGGATTACGTGCAGTTGTCGGGGACACCTCCTTCCTCAGAGCAGAAGTGCAGCTCTGTGTCCTGGGAAGAGCTGAAGGCCATGGACCTGCCCTCCTTTGAACCCGCCTTCCTGGTGCTCTGCCGAGTCCTGCTGAACGTGATCCATGAGTGTCTGAAGCTGCGGCTGGAGCAGCGGCCTGCTGGGGAGCCTTCTCTCCTGAGCATCAAACAGGTGTGCTTCCCACGGCCGCTCCCCATTTTGTTCCGAGGATTTCCTCCCCCAGTTACTACAAACAGTGGAAAGACATGCCTTAGTGTTTGCTTTTACTTCTCTTTGGGGGTGATCTAGAATGTTCTTTACCTCTAGTCCCCAAAGATAAGAGTCTGTCTCAGCCTCTTTCCCTCTCACTTCTTTCGGAAAAGTGTAAAAACCGGCTGTGCTGTGACTGTCAGTCTTGATAACTGGCAACAACATTCTTTTTAAAAAACTTATTGTTTGTTTTTGGTGATACTTGAGACCTGGAGCCTTACATGCCAGGTGACATGTTGCTGAACTGTTTCTCCAGCCTTTGAAGTTTATCCCTAGAAGACAGTGTAGGTCCATTTGGGCTCCTTCTTTACTGTGTTGGAGGGGTAAGGAGACAGGAAAATGTTGGGATAATGTGGACTTCGTGCATGCTTAAGTAGCCATGGAGACTGAGAGGTAGAGTCCACTTTTTCCTTCTCAGCTGTGAGTTTCAGGGGGGTCTTTGTGGGGCTCTTTTCAGGAACAGCAGCAGAATGACTGGACGTAGTCTTACTGGACAGAGTGAGGGCTGAACAGTGTTGTTAGGCTTTGGCTATTAGCATGTTGTCATGACATACAGAGTAAAGCCTTTCAGGTCTTCACAGGCGCCTGCTAGAGCCTGAAGGTACATGGCTCTGTGAATCACAAGACAGTGCAGCTGAAGGGAGACAGGTGAATCAGCTCACACAGCAGGTCCACAGAGGATGTGTGTCTGTCTGTCTGGTCAGGTGTAGACCAGGGGAACCAATGAGGTCATTTGGGAGTAGGCCCCGTGTCACTTGCCACTCCTGTTGCCACTCTGCACCAGCCAGAGCTGTTTCCACAGTAGCCCCACTTCCTTTACACTGTCTCGTTTTCCCTTACTGTCTGCCTGGTCTACCTGGCCATAGTTTTATCTTGTTCTGTGGACTGCGGTAGGCAGCTGAGCCCTGCTAGTCAAACACCTATCCCCGTTCCTCATCAACACTGCAGATACAACCCTGTAACCCAGGGTGAAGTCTATTTTGGCTCAGTAATGGGGCTCTTGTGGTGTTAAATAGCAGTTTATGTGAAAGCACTTCAGTGACCAGCAGGGCTAGGACTGATATCATATTTCAGAGAAAAAAAGAAAAGAAATTTTCTGTTATAAGTATTCAAGGATCAGTAGTAAAAACCTACATGGCATTTAATACAGAAAAGTAGACATAGACACTTTTAGGAGATGTGACTTGTAGCTATAGTTCTTGCACCATGAATAATTAAAAAAAAATTTAAGGGCTTTTGTCTTTAAAAGCAGCTTAGTTCTTATTTTAGACAAATTAAAAATAGTCCCTGTTCTCCTGGCATCCATGAGATGAGCACAGAGCATGTCTTCCATTCAGCTGTCTTCCCTGCACACACACTCCCTATACATGCCAATAAGAGATGAATTGTATGTATGTGTTGTACATGTGTGTGCAACACACATAAGTATTCCCGCTTTCCTCCACACTCTGTCAAATCAAGACTTTACAGGCTGCAGTGCGCCCCAGGTATACACACCCACACTTGTGGGTAAGTCTTCTTTGCATCCCTGATTATTGCTTGTAGTAGTAAATAGTGAACTGCCCATCTTAGAGTCTGGGAAGCTGCAGCCTTTGCTTCCTAGCTACTGCCCTGAGCTCCTTCCGTGGCTGCTGCCTCTGAACATCAGTGTGACTGTGTCAGGGGTCTGTCCTCAGCCCCTGGGACTGTCGTTCCCAGCCTGATCATGGAAGAGGCTCTCTAGGTTGCCTCACCTCTGTCTTCTTCCTCCACTCCTCACCTGCTGCACTACCACATCGCAGCTTTTGCCGTCCTTTTCTGTTTTCCTTGAGTTCTGATCTTATCAGTGTAGCTTGGTTTGCCGCTTTAGTAGTAGGTGAAGCCACACCTTGCAGAAGGTAAGCTGTGCTGTATTACTCAGAAGCCACTGTTTTCTGTGGTTTGTTATTTATATCTTGGTTTTGGTTAAAATTCCTGTCCCAGGAGCTTTCCTTCCTCCTCTACCTCTTGTCTTACAGTATACATTGGTAAGAGTGGCTTATGACATGAGGTTTGTTTTCACTATCAGTTCACCTGTAGGCTGTATTCTAGCTGAGCAGTGGCTGCTATGTGATTCTTCACTGTGTGCTCAAGGGTTACAGCTGGCTGAACTGTCACACACAACAAGCTTCTCTGGAGTCAGACTATCTCAGACTCCTCAGAGCAAGGTCCCTCTGGGGCTTTAGTGGGGCAATCTGTGAGGACTAGCAGTCTATGTGGCCAGGGTGTGCCGGTGACAGTGGTGTCTTTTGTGTGTGCTCTCTTGCAGCTCGTGCGAGAGTGTAAGGAGGTCCTGAAGGGGGGGCTACTGATGAAGCAGTACTACCAGTTCATGCTGCAGGAGGTTCTGGACGGCCTGGAGAAGACCGACTGCAACATGGATGCCTTTGAGGAGGACCTGCAGAAGATGCTCATGGTAAGAGAGGGGTTCTCGGGCTGTGTGCACTCAGCATGGCAGTCTGACCTGCTTCTGTCTGTATGGCAGTGGATGACATCCCCCCCCCCCCAAAAAAAAAAACCCTTATTTTAAAAAGTTCTCAATGATTTTTAGATTGACATTTTGGACTAGCCTTAGCCCAGTCTATTGTTTTATTGTAGGATAGTTCATCTTATATTTGAAAAAGGATTAAAACTGGCTCTTCTTCCATCTAATCCCCAAACAGTAGTCCATTTTACAATTCCTGAGATGGGTGCTGGGGGTCTTGCATGACTCAGGAAATATTGGAGGAAAGGAGAATACCACTAGTGGGGACCAGCCAAGAACGGCTTCTGTTCCTGCATGTCTGGGACCCCTCAACACAGACGTGTCCACAGAGCACTTCATCTCAGAGATGGGGCAAGGCCACACAAGCCACCCACTTAAGGACTTAGCAGTCGGAGCAGGCTGTACTATGTTTCTTCACAGAGCCCATCTCATCCTTGCTGTCTTAGTTAAGATCTCTGTTGCTGGGAGGAGACTCCATGACCACAGTGACTCTTGTAAGGAAAGCATTAATAGGGGTGGCTTACAGTTTCAGAGGTTCAGTCCATCATCATGACCGGGGGCATGGTGGCGTGTAGGCAGACATGGTGCAGGCAACAGGAAGTTGACCTACAGTCACACTAAGGGAAGCTTGAGCAAAAGAGACCTCAAAGCCCTCCCCACGGTGGCACAGTTCCTTTGACAAGGCCACACCTCCTAATAGTGCCACTCTCTTCCGGGACTATTATTTTTCAAACCACCACACTCATCCTGTGTTTCTAATCTCAGGGCTGTTCGTGCTATTCTTTCCTGCCAGAATTGGTCTCCTCCTCGCCCACTTAGACTTACTTTCAGGTTGTACTTTCTGCATTTAGAGTTGAGCCTTTGAGCCTGCACCTATCCTTACCATCTTTGAACTCTCAACAGTTGCAGTTAGATGTGACTAGATCATAACATTTAAACAGACTGGCAGGCCAAAGCATCATGAATTGGAGCTATAACTTGTAATTCCCTTGTGTCCCATGTTGTGTGGTAGAGATCGTGTATAGGAAGAGCTTTAAAGCCAAAAGAGCCATTTGGGAGATTGTGCTCAGTCCATTTTGCCCATGCCATATTGACCGGACTGCCGTGTAGCTTTGGAGTTATCTGCACAGGGTGGGGATTCAATACACTGAGTGGCCACTCAGTCTCAGGAGAAAAGGTAGGAGGTGGGCAGAGGGGCTTACAGTAGCTAGTGTCCTAGGAGAGCACAGAAAGGGCTGGAGTGTGTGAAATACCGTGGATCTCTCCTGTCTCCTGAGACGCTGTGGTGGGAAGCAGTGTACAAGTAGGTCTCCTCTCCAAGTTGTTAACTCAATGAGTTTGGAAAGACACAGTGTTCTTTGCTTCTCAAAAGCTCTTTGATGGCTTCCAGAGGCACATTTAGTGCCTTTTACCCTGAAATGGTGGGGACATGGGGTTATAAGCCACACTCCCCTTTCCTGCCCTCGGGGTGTCTGTGCCCAAGCTGAGATGAGAACCTTGCAACAGTTGTAGGGAAGTACAGCGTTTCATTTGGCTTTGCTGCCCATGGCTGCTGTGAATCAGACCGTAGCATCTTGTAGATGCCAATGTCCTATTGTGTGCTGAAAGGATGGGCCAAGGAGCTGCCTTGAGGACTGAGGGGGCCCAGCATCAGCATGTCTGTGGAGGTGAGCAGATAGATTGGGTCTTGGCAGTACTCAGATCATTTTCGCCACAGACCCTCCTCTTGAAACACAGCACAGAGGAAAGAAACAAAATTCCATGAAAAGGAGGAAACAGTCTTAGAGTTTGTTCTCCACCTCTGTGACAAAACAGCTGCTAATTTGTCTTCTTATTCAGGCTGCACTGTAGACATAGCTGTGATGCTGCCTACCGTGGGCCGATGGGGTGTGTGTGTGTGTGTGTGTGTGTGTGTGTGTGAGAGAGAGAGAGAGAGAGAGAGAGAGAGAGAGAGAGAGAGAGAGAGTCTAGTGGGGCTGCACTGAAGATCCTCACAGGCCAAAGCCTTTTCTGTAGACTACTTCTCAACCAGCCTGCCCCCTGCAGCTTGGCTGCCCTGGAGGATCGGGAACTGACTGGTCACCGTGTAGAAAGTCAGACTCAGGGCAACACTGGCCGTTGTAGCATCTGCTTAATAAGAAACAGGGCAAGTGCCCACCTCCAGCTCCAGTGCTGTGTCTTGGTGAGGGCTGGAGGCAGCACCTGAACTGATGCTGTTGATGTCAGAGCACAACTTGCCAAAGTTAGTTCCATTGTGGTCAGTGCTGAGCCACCTCACTGCCCCACCTCTCCCTTTTCAGTTTCTCTAATTAAGAAATTGACACAAGTACTAAGATTATGGGCATTTGAGCCATGTCCAGTTTTGTGCGGTTCTAGGGTCCGAACTCAGGACTCTGAGCATGGTGGGGTGACGTCATAGCACCTTCAATTTTGCTAATTCTCATCCTTCAACTCCCTCCCCTGTCCTGCTGCTGCTGTGTGCAGGGAGGGCTCTTACACTGACCTCATTCCTCTCCTGTTCCTGCTGCTGCCTGTGTGTGTGTGTTGGGGGGGCTCTTACACTGACCTCACCCCCCCACACACACTGTTCCTGCTGCTGCTGTGTGCGGGGAAGGTTCTTACACTGACCTTGCCCTTCCCCACTGTTCTGCTGCTGCTGTGTGCAGGGAGGGTTCTTACACTGACCTCACCCCCCCCCCCCCCACACACTGTTCCTGCTGCTGTGTGCGGGGAGGGATTTTGCACTATCCCGAAGACACTCTAAGTCTGAATTAAGTAGGTGACAGTATAAAGGGCCTCATGGTAGAGGTGGTGACACAAATCTTAGAGGCAGAATGAAGCCCCCGCTGTGTGGTCATGGCTTTAATTTTGCTTTTATGACCAAGGACATGGCAGCGTGGTTGTTTTAAAGAACAGTGGAGACAAGAGGACACAACTCTTTGCTGACCCTGAGCACACAGCAGACAGTTGCTCCCTGAGCCTGCTGAGAGGATGTAGCCAGCTTGCCAGGATGGCTCTAGAAGTGAGAGGGCAGCTTGGGCCTGGCCTGTAGAGGTGTGTCACAGCCGGGTAAGATAGTATGGGATTATGAATGCCGGGTTCTTGTGTACAGCTCCAATCAGAGTGAACCTGAGCCCACAGGGTCCTGGGCCATAGGCTAGAGAGTGCAGGACCCAGAGCATTCAAAGATAACAAAAAAAAATTGCCTGGAAATAGTCTTGCAGAGTGCTGTCTGAGGGGTGTTTCAGGATCTCAGAGGAAAATTATAATGAGCTCTTAAGATGTAGCCTGGTTTAAAAAAAAAACAAAGAACAACAACAACAAAAAAAAAAAACCCAACTGAACAAGCAAGGAGCACCCGCAATGGGACTCAAGAGTCCTATAAACTTCAGAATATCATTTAGGTGTGGTGTGTATGCTCATGACCTCAGCTAGAGGCGAAGGCAGGAGGAACATGAGACATCTAGCCTGGGCTACATAGCAAAAACTGTCTCAAGAAAAGACGGAAATGGAGAAAACGGAGAGAGGAGGGAAGAGAAGTCACCTTGGGGAGTGACGCGTGGGGAGCCTTGGCAGGCGGGCAGCAGGGCTGGCTTCGTTTCTTCATGGGAATAATCGCGTTGAATGTGGATAGGTGGGGTTGTGTCTTCACAGTTCTGATCAGATATCTTCTCCTTGGTCTGCTCATCCGTAAGATCAGAAAATGCCCGGTGGCGTGTTTCTTAGCCGACTTCCTTCCAGGGCCTGTTCAGAGGAAACTGCTCATTAGTGGAACACTGCCTTAGCTTCTTTTCTTGCTGGGGAAGAAAATTCTATTGGCAAAAGCAACTTAAGAGAGAAAGGGCTCTTTGTGGCTCACAGGCCAAAGGTACAGTCCTCATGGCTGGGATGCCAAGGTGACATGGCAGGGTCTTGAAGCAACCGATTACATCAAATTCACAGTGAGGTAGCAGAGAGCAATGAACGCATGCACGCAGCCGCTCAGCTCTCTCCATTACACAGTCAGGACCCCAGCTAGGGAATGGTACCTCCCGTAGTGTCCTGGTCATCCTACCTCGGTCATCCTCCACTTCAGGTAACAGGCATTCCAGAGGCCCATCTCCTGGATGTTTCTACAGATCCTGTCACGGTGATGGTTAATACTGACCACCACACACCAATAAAGAAATCAAGGTGGGAATTCAGGACTAATAGAGTGGTTGTGGCACTTGTGGGTATAGTCTCAGCCTCAGACACCTGACATTTTTTTTGTTTTGTTTATTTATTTATTAAAGATTTCTGCCTCCTCCCCGCCACCGCCTCCCATTTCCCTCCCCCTCCCCCAATCAAGTCCCCCTCCCTCGTCAGCCCAAAGAGCAATCAGGGTTCCCTGCCCTGTGGGAAGTCCAAGGACCACCCACCTCCATCCAGGTCTAGTAAGGTGAGCATCCAAACTGCCTAGGCTCCTACAAAGCCAGTACGTGCAGTAAGATCAAAAACCCATTGCCATTGTTCTTGAGTTCTCAGTAGTCCTCATTGTCCGCTATGTTCAGCAAGTCCGGTTTTATCCCAGGCTTTTCCAGACCCAGGCCAGCTGGCCTTGGTGAGTTCCCGATAGAACATCCCCATTGTCTCAGTGTGTGGGTGCACCCCTCGCAGTCCTGAGTTCCTTACTCGTGCTCTCTCTCCTTCTGCTCCTGATTTGGACTGACACCTGACATTTTGACTGTATCATAATTGAATGTTATGACCCTCAGAAAATTCATGTCACACATTTGGGCATCAAGAAGTTTTGGTGAGACCTCTGCTAGTAACTCTCCAACTGAATCAAGTAACCAAACACACATTAATCTCTCAAAGGCACCATGTCCACGTTCATGATAAAAGTTTTTAAGTGCATTTCCCACGTCACTGTGCCCCCTGCATGCTGTGCTGTTTAAGTCACTTTGCAGGAGTCTGAAAGGTTGTGACTGTGTTGTTGCTGAAGACTCAAGCGGTTGAAGAAGCGTCCTCATTTGGACACCAGATGGCTGTGGTACATGCAGTCTTGTTCCCAGAATGCCATGTATGCTTTCTATGATCCCTCCTCTGTCTTACCGTTCCAATTGATATTGTGTATTAATAGGCCAAGTTATAAGGTCCTGGATTCTCTGAAACATGTCGTTTTATATTTGTTTTAAGGTGTATTTTGATTACATGAGAAGCTGGATCCAAATGCTGCAGCAGTTACCCCAGGCTTCCCATAGCTTAAAAAATCTGTTAGAAGAGGAATGGAATTTCACCAAAGAAATCACTCATTACATTCGAGGAGGAGAAGCGCAGGCCGGAAAGCTTTTCTGGTAGGAACCTTGTGCTCGGGAGCACCTTCCTTTCTCCCCCTTCTCCTGTACGTGTGCAAGTGTCAGTTATGTGAAGGTGCACGGCCCTGTTTGTGTGCACAGGTTCTCACCTGGGTGGCTTTGCCTCTTGGGGCATTCACGGTGTTTGGAGACAGTTTTGTTATCTTGGTGGGGAGGGCACTGCTAGCACCTGGGCTGCCGAGGGCAGAGTGCATGGATCCACAGCAGGCACGGGGCAGCAACACAATGACCCGCCCACAATGTGGGTCTTGAGTCTGAGATGCCTTCAGTTGGCCTCTTGCTCATCTTGTTGTTAATAAAAGGATGGAGACTTTGAATCCTGGAAGGGGAGAACAGACCAGTGTGTTTGAACTTGGTGGGGGCACCCAGAACCCAAGTCTTTAGTTTTCATTGAGAGTGGTTTGGAAATGTAATCGAATTGTGTCTCTTTATAAACTCCTTACATATGGTGGAGGAATAGGAGTGGGACCCAGGATGCTTGTCTGCTTATTCTGGGAAATGAGCATCTCGTGTTCGGGCCCTCTGTATCCTCTGGTGGGTGCCCTGCTTTCTGACACCCTGATGCAGAATGAGGCCATGTGCTCTGTAGACCCACTGCCCACATCCTGCTGCCCCATGCCTCCGCTTCCTCCTTTTACTTCTCTTGCCCCTTCCTGTGAGGTGCGTGCGCTGGCTCAGGTGTGCACCCCTTCCTGTGAGGTGTGTGCGCTGGCACAGGTGTGCACCCCTCCCTGTGAGGCACGCGTGCTGGCTCAGGTGTGCACCCCTCCCTGTGAGGCACGCGTGCTGGCTCAAGTGTGCACCCCTTCCTGTGAGGTGCGTGTGCTGGCTCAGGTGTGCACCCCTCCCTGTGAGGCACGCGTGCTGGCTCAGGTGTGCACCCCTCCCTGTGAGGCACGCGTGCTGGCTCAGGTGTGCACCCCTCCCTGTGAGGCGCGTGTGCTGGCTCAGGTGTGCGCCCCTCCCTGTGAGGTGCATGTGCTGGCTCAGGTGTGCGCCCCTCCCTGTGAGGTGCATGTGCTAGCTCAGGTGTGCACCCCTCCCTGTGAGGCATGCATGCTGGCTCAGGTGTGCACCCCTCCCTGTGAGGCGCATGTGCTGGCTCAGGTGTGCACCCCTCCCTGTGAGGTGCATGTGCTGGCTCAGGTGTGCACCCCTCCCTGTGAGGCACACGTGCTGGCTCAGGTGTGCACCCTCCCTGTGAGGCGCGTGTGCTGGCTCAGGTGTGCGCCCCTCCCTGTGAGGTGCATGTGCTGGCTCAGGTGTGCACCCTCCCTGTGAGGCGTGTGCACTGGCTCAGGTGTGCATCACTAATGGTTGTGCTCCAGGACTTCAGCAATCTCTGTCCTCTCTTGGTGTCAGAATCTTGTGTCTACTTTTTTTGGTGTCTCAGAAGCATCTGCCACTTTCCTGCATGGCTCTCGGTTCTTATACTGCGTCTTCATCTTGAGTGAGCAGTGAGCTTACAGGGCTTCCCAGTCCTGTGGGGATGTCCCTTGTTTTTTCTGTCTCCGGGTTTAGAGGGCTCTGTTAGTGTCCATCTGTCCTGCTCAGTTTCACTCTGCTCTCACTTCTCCGGTGACACTTGTGTCTTTGTCTCACATTCCCCAAAGCCATCTCTGGACTTTGCCGTTGTGCCCCTTGTTCTGAGAACAGCTTCCAGGGTTCTGGCTGTTTTCCCTGCGCTGTCACCTCTGGTCTATCCCAGTGTTCTTCCCATCCCCTGCCTTGGAGCAGCCTCTCTGGGTCCAGGCAGGATAGAACCAACCACGTCCCCCTCAGCTTTGCTTTTGGATGCCCCCAAGGACATGGCATGGACTAGATTTCCTTTCCTCACTGCACCCCTTCTGTGCACTCTGTCATCCCTCGTGTGCACAGCTCAGCCTCAGTGGTCCTGCCCAGATCCCCCACTCACTCGCAGCACCAGCTGCAGACTGCCCGTGTCGAGCCGTCTGCCAGCCAGATTGCCTTGGAACACTCAGCAGCTCCCTGTCAGGGAGGACACGTAAGCAGTGGGCGTCAGGGCTGCATGCAGTCAGCCTTCTCGTCCAGCGTCCAGTGTGTGTCCTCAGCTCCCGGACTCCGTACTGTGCAACCACACAGTCCCTCCCGTGCTCGCAGTCTGGGCAGATGAAGCTTGCTGCCCAGGGACCACTTGTCACAGTTACTTTCATGACTGACTCACTTCCCCCGTCCTGCAAATGTTACCTTCCTATAATATTTAGAAGTTTTTACCCGCAAGTACTTAGGATTTCATTTTTTGTTATTTTTTTCTGTCCAGTAGAGGGCTTCTGCTCTCATGTTCACTGCTGCTTCTGTATAGCAGGAGCCCAGTAGCTGTTAAATGAACGCATCCCAATGCTTTCTGTGATATTCTTAATCCTTTTCTGACCAAGTCTCCTTCCCACTCAGGTATTTTAAACCCCACCTGTGTAGACAGAAGCTTCTGTCCCACCTGGTCCTTGGCCCGCAGCTCCTCCCCGTCTGTGAAGAGCAACCCTGTAATCATCATGGTGTGGCTACCATAGCTGACCTGTGCTCTCCCCATCTTGAACAGTTAAGCTTTGATGGCCATGTGATTAAACCAGTTAGCATGATAGCCAGGCTCTCCAGAGTGTGGCCTGACCTCATGTGCTTCTGAGTTTCCTGCCAGGCTTTGCTTTTCCAGGCATGCCTCATGCTTGACACAGCTTCACACCGTGATCCAGTTCAAGTTCATTGTCTTTTGACTCCTGTTCCCCTCAGTCTGCTCCCTGAAGATCCATCCATTCCCCTTCGGATGACCCTGCTGACATTCAGCCTTTGCTTGATCAGGGCTTTCTGCCAGGAGAGGCTTTACTGCCAGCTAGCCTTGGCCTCTTCGTCTGATACCCAGTGTTCCCCATCATTTGATGGTTGCGTACTTTGCTCTCTCTTTCCCTAATCATCACTGCCTTTCCTTCATGGTGAAGGCTTACCACAGTGATTGACCTTGTTCTGTGGGCTTGTTCGTTAATACTAGTGTTTAAATTGTCTGCTCATTGGGAAAGTTCCGGTGTGGAGTATTTGTGTTCATCAGCTGTAGGAGCTAACTTTGAGGGAAGTAAAACCAGCTGTGTTTCAGTAGTTTGCTTTTCTAGACCATCATTTGGTTTTTTTGTTTTGTTTTTGTTTTGAGGCATTTTATACTATCTTGAACTTTTAAACAATCACAGTGAGTAATCACATGACTACTACAGTTTACCACTATGGTTTATACTCATGCTCCATGTAATAGCACAGAGATGGCCCGTGCTATCATCTAGGTTTCTGTGTTTCTCATAGTCGTGCGCCAAGAGAAACCTCCTGTTGATTTGTGACTGTTGCAGTGACAGCTGCTTCTCCTTCTGCTTTGCTGTTTGCCCCCAGTGACATCGCAGGGATGCTGCTGAAGTCCACAGGCAGCTTTCTGGAGTCTGGCCTGCAGGAGAGCTGTGCAGAGCTGTGGACCAGCGCTGATGACAACGGTGCAGCTGACGAGTTGAGGTTGGCGTCACACTGGCTTTCTCTCTGTTTCTTGCTGTGGGAGTCTTACTTCCCAGTGGGCTTCCGGAGGTCTTTGTTTAGACTGGACTGTGATGGCCCTGGGGTGGGCACAACACGGGGAGGGAGGGTTATCAGTGGTCTTCTGGTTGTGGCTTTACATGAAAACTTCTTTATAGAAACTTCAACATGATAAAAATATAGTGGATATTAACTGAAAATGGCTATAGCAACACTCTGTACCCATGTTTTCCTGTTGTGTCTTTAGATGTTACATTTTTGTCCTTTAAACCCCTGTAGCAGTCCACGCTACCTTTTAATGCCATTTGGCACATTTCTATTATTTATGCTTGTCTTACCCTTTCTGTTGAACATCAAGGTAGACTCATCTGCTGGATTCCCTCCAGTGATGCAGATGCCACTGTTGAAATTGCACCCACCATGTGTGTGTGTCTATCTGTATGTGTCCATGTATTTATGTATCTGTGTCTGTCTGTCTGTGTGTGTCCGTGTATTATGTATCTGTGTGTGTGCGTATGTCTTATGAGATGCTGCACATAGAGCCATTGTGTGCCATCTGTCTGTCAGGTGCATGTTCAGAGCTGAGGCGTTTTACTCACTGACCCTAGTCTGGGGAAGAGCAGTTAACATCTGGGTATAGACATTCCGTTCCCACTGAGGCTCTGAGCTGGTAAAACACTGATAGTTGAGACACAGAATGAACCTTTGTGTGGCCCTGTAGTTTTAAGTTATTAATGTAAAGTTGACATGAGACTTGAAGTATCGAGGCAGTGAGCTAGGCAACAGCTTTGACGGCTCCCTCATCTGCCAGGGCCTCCGTGTGCCACCATGCCTGCTCCATGGTGTCCTGCCCCTGTGATCAGCTGTGGTGGCAGCACTCTGCCACACAAGTCAGCATGATCTGCCAGGTGGTCCTGGGGCTGTTTTGGCTACACTGAGTGTGTATTTCTTTTCAGTCATATATGAGCTCTTAAACTCTAAGAACTTGTCATAGCAATGTCTAGAAAATTAAGCATACTGCTACTTGAGGGATACTTGATGTCCCCTGTGTACATGGAATACTCAGCACTTTCTGCAGAACTCTGCGGATCAAGCTTTTCAGGATTTTGGCCACAGCCTCAGTAACTGCTTGTTCGCATTGAGGAAATCTGTGGGAGCAGTTTGTTGCTATGATTTGAAATGTGCTGCCTGTTTGTTACTAGTGGCGCGTGTACTCGGGTGCCCCAGTGTGAACTAACTGACTTCCCCCGGCAGGCGGTCTGTCATAGAGATCAGTACTCGGGTGCCCCAGTGTGAACTGACTTCCCCTGGCAGGCAGTCTGTCGTAGAGATCAGTACTCGGGTGCCCCAGTGTAAACTAACTGACTTCCCCCGGCAGGCAGTCTGTCATAGAGATCAGTACTCGGGTGCCCCAGTGTAAACTAACTGACTTCCCCCGGCAGGCAGTCTGTCATAGAGATCAGTACTCGGGTGCCCCTGTGTGAACTAACTGACTTCCCCTGGCAGGCGGTCTGTCATAGAGATCAGTACTCGGGTGCCCCAGTGTAAACTAACTGACTTCCCCCGGCAGGCAGTCTGACGTAGAGATCAGTACTCGGGTGCCCCTGTGTGAACTAACTGACTTCCCCCGGCAGGAGGTCTGTCATAGAGATCAGTACTTGGGTGCCCCTGTGTGAACTAACTGACTTCCCCCGGCAGGCGGTCTGTCATAGAGATCAGCCGCGCGCTCAAGGAGCTCTTCCACGAAGCCCGGGAGAGGGCCTCCAAGGCGCTGGGCTTTGCTAAAATGCTGCGGAAGGTGAGTCCCCCAGCCTGGCTGCTGCTGCTGCCCTTTCCTTGTTTTGTTCTTAAGGCCGATCCTAAAAAGGCTTCTCTTTTGTCATCCTAGGACCTGGAAATAGCAGCAGAGTTTGTACTGTCTGCCTCGGTCCAAGAACTCCTGGACGTTCTGAAAGCGAAGCAGTATGTCAAGGTGAATCCCATGGTGATCTCGGGGCCATTGGTTTCCACTGCATTCTAAAGAGGCTGCTTGTTCATTACATCCAGAGTTAATAATCTTGGCACTCTGCACACGTACTGGACATGTTCCTACTAGAACACGCTTCCTCACACTTATCTTTCTTATAAATGCAGACAATGCATCAACCACAGTGTATACTGATTAACTTAGTTATACATGTTTAAAGTAGTGACTACAGTAGAAAATGTAAACGACATTACTGACTTCGTATCACTGATTTTAGTGTTTGCCCGCAGGTCTCTAATCCGGTAGTCTTAGTGTGATTCTTTGGTAATGCATCCTAGTCGTCATCGTAGTTACTTCTTGGACCCATCTTCACCCCTCTTTAAGTCTGAGGTTTATCACTTTGGGACCTGCATATGGCATGTCATTGGCAACTGTATGCCAAGCCCGGATGTCTTAGTTAAGGTTTTTGTTACTGTGGTAGAACATAAGACCAAAGCAACTTGGGCAGGAAAGGGTTTACTTGACTTACCCTTCCCCATCACTGTTCATCACTGAAGGATGTCAGGACAGGAATTCACTCAGGGCAGGAACCTGGAGGCAGGAGCTGCTGCAGAGACCATAGAGGGGAGCTACTTACTGCCTTGCTTCCCATGGCTTGCTCAGCCCACTTTCTTATAAAAACCCAGGACCATGAGCCTAGGGATGGCACCACCCACAATGGGCTGGACCCTCCCCATTAATCATTAGTTAAGAAAACGCCTTACAGGCTTCCCTTTAGCCTGATCTCATGGAGTCATTTTCTTATTTGAGGCTCCCTCCTCTCCAGTGACTCTAGCTTGTATCAGGTTGACATAAAACTAGCCAGCACACTGGGAATGTGTGATGTAGGGCTGACTCTTGTGCAGCTTTTGCCCCCATCATGGCATTGTATTCCATGTTAAGGTGACCCTCAACTCCTGGAACCTAGCACTGACAGGTTGTTCCAGGCACCCTTGTGAAGAATGCAGTGTTGGCCGTGGGACAGGGAAGCAGTGCCCTGCACCTGTAGAAACCTCAGTGCTACCCCAGGTCCCCTCCCAGCCCCTCTCCCTTCTCCTTCAGCCGCACTCAGCAGAGCCATGTGCAGTTCAGCTTGCTGTTGGCACTGATGCATCTCTTCCACTGTCCACTCCCGCCCCAAGCCCCTGGACTGGGGCTGAATTCACTACATAGCCCAGGTTGGGCTCCGAGTGCTAGGAATGCAGACATACACCTCTCCATGCCTGACTGATGTTAATCTCATGCTTCTTAGTTTAAGGCTGGGTTATTTGCTTTCCAGGTACAGATTCCCGGCTTAGAGAACTTGCACGTGTTTGTCCCCGACAGCCTTGCTGAGGAGAAAAGAATTATTTTGCAGCTACTCAATGCTGCCACGGGAAAGGACTGTTCCAAAGATCCGGATGATGTCTTCATTGATGCCTTCCTGCTTCTGACCAAGCACGGGGACCGAGCCCGTGACTCGGAAGATGGCTGGGGCACCTGGGAATCACGGGCTGTCAAAATTGTGCCTCAGGTGGAGACTGTCGATACCCTGAGAAGCATGCAGGTTGGTGGCCTCACTTGCCATCCAGCTATGCGGGTCAGAATGTTTTTATGAAACAGAGTGTGGCAGCTTTCAAACATCACCCCTAATGATCTGAATGCTCCACGAAATGGGCCTGTATGGTTCATTACATGAATAGTTAGCATGATTGTACTAGAAGTATCCCGGCTAGTTTAATTATGTCGGATTATACTGGAATGTTTGAAGTAACCTGTCTGCTTGATTTGTACCTTTTAGTGTTCAGTCAGTTAGATTTAAAAGGCGCCATTTCATTGATGAGTCATAATTCCAGACAGCACAGTCCCAAAGTGACCCTGAGGACAGAAACAGTGCTGGCCTTGTCACGTAGTTCTCACTTGTATAGTGAAGAGCAGATTCTGAGACTCACTGAGGACCGCTGTCGGGAGCCTCCTCACATGGCTTCCAGCTCAGGCCGTGAGAGCAGATGTCGCTGTGCACCCGGAGCTCCTCCACCCCGCCCGCCTGTTCTTTCTCTCACACTCTCAGGCAAGCCTGCCCACTCCCTTGTTTAAATCAGGAGTGTGGCAGCAAGTGTAAACGTGTCCTCCCACTTCTTCTGCTAGTCACCAGCCTGGCAGCCAGACATGTGTTCAGCAAATGATCTGTCTGGAATTCCCAGGGCCACTGCCACAGCTCAGGCATCATCGCCTGTCCTGTTTGTAGTTTCCCTGCTTCAAGCCCCTTTCCCTCCCCCAGTTCTCCAGTTGGTTTGTGGTTTGTTGGAGAGAGAGCATGGCAGCACTCAGATCTATCCTAAATACTACAGTGGCTCTCGGGCTCTTAGAGGTTCCTAGTCATAGTCTTGGCGCTTTAGTCCTTAGTGCTGGGGCTCTCATCTCTGTCTTTTCCATCTCCCCGGGCTGCTCCAACACACACAATCTGTGCATGCCCATGGCTTTTCCCAGTGGAGAGTGGGGTTTTTCTTCCTTTGCTGAAGAGCCAGGTCACCAGTGCTTGCTGCCCTTGGTCAGGTGGCTAGCTGGTACAGGAGCTGTACCTGCAGGGGACCTTGGACAGGTGGCTAGCTGGAGCATGGTAGCCTTGAGGGTGGCACTGTCTGAGGGTGGGGTTTCAGCAGAGTGGGAAAGCCGCCACCGGTCTCATCTGGCTTTCCTCCCAGGTGGACAATCTTCTCCTGGTTGTCATGGAGTCTGCTCATCTCATAATTCAGAGAAAAGCCTTCCAGCAGTCCATTGAGGGACTGATGACTCTTCGCCACGAGCAGACATCCAGTCAGCCGGTCATTGCCAAAGCTTTGCAGCAGCTCAAGGTACTGACCATGCCATGCTTGCCTCTGGGTGAAATGCTGTGGAGATGTCACGTGGCGTGAGGTGATGTCATGTGATGGATGTGAGTGGTCGCCATTCTTCCTAGTGTCCACTTATACGTGTGTGTATATGAAACATTTTTTAGGTTCTTCCCCAGACTGTAGAACTGGGAAGGATAGGAATATTGGCTCTGGGGTTATGAACTGTCACACTGAGAGGTCAGAGGTCATCACCTCCTTGTAGCATCTGGGAGTTACTGTGGTATCTCATACAGAAGCACTGAGAATTTAAATAAGACTGGGTTTCTCAGCCTTTACCTTGACATTAGGGCCAGTGATTCTTTGTTGTGTGGAGTGGTTGTAGGGAGTGGGGTGTCTTCTGTTGTGTGGGGTGGTGGGGTTTCTCCTGCTGTCTAGGGTATGAGGTATCTCCTGCTGTATGGTTGGTGGGGTGTCTCTTGCTGTATGGGGTATGGGGTGTCTCCTGCTGTATTGGTGGTGGGGTGTCTCTTGCTGTATGGGGTATGGGGTGTCTCCTGCTGTATTGGTGGTGGGGTGTCTCTTGCTGTATGGGGTATGGGGTGTCTCCTGCTGTATTGGTGGTGGGGTGTCTCTTGCTGTATGGGTGGTGGGGTGTCTCTTGCTGTATTGGTGGTGGGGTGTCTCTTGCTGTATGGGTGGTGAGGTGTCTCCTGCTGTATGGATGGTGGGGTGTCTCTTGCTGTATGGATGGTGGGATGTCTCCTGCTGTATGGGGTATGGGGTGTCTCCTGCTGTATCGGTGGTGGGGTGTCTCCTATTGTGTGGGGTGGATTCTCCTGGTGTATGGGGTATGGTGTCTTCTGATGTATGGAGTGTCTCCTGCTATATGGGTGGTATGGTGTCTCCTGCTGTATATGTGGTAGGTGTCTCCTGCTGTATTGGGTATGGGGTGTCTCCTGCTGTATATGTGGTAGGTGTCTCCTGCTGTATTGGGTATGGGGTGTCTCCTGCTGTATGGGCTGGTGGGCTGTCTTCTGTCATTTAGGATGGTACAGGGTGTCTTATGTGTTGTGGAATATCTGGCAGCATCCTTGGTCTCTATCCACCAGATGACGTAGGCCTTAGCTACTCCAGTTTTGATCCCGTGGAAATGCACAGAAACGCCAGTGACACCAGTGCCTGTTCACAGACCAGAGTGCAGTTAGGTCCAACCACTCTATGTGGGTTGTTTTCACTTGGTGTTCTGTAAGGTGCCAAAGACTATCTCAGACAAATAATGGTGAAAATAGGATTTCTCTGTCATGTTTGGATGAAGTACCTCAGTGGTCTCTGCCCATGGTGAAGGTGGCATCTTCCTGTGGTTAATGCTGGTTTGCTTCTCTTTGGACTGATTGTGGTTTGGGACTCCTCAGAATGATGCGCTTGAGCTGTGCACCAGGGTGAGTGACGCCATTGACCGAGTGGACCACATGTTCACGCTGGAGTGCGATGCTGAGGTCGATGAGTTGGAGTCCGCCACGCTGCAACAGTACTACCGAGAGGCAATGATTCAGGGTTACAACTTTGGGTTCGAGGTAGGTACCAAAGGTGAGGGAACACCGCACAGTCCAGAAAGTGCTGTGAGGGTTATAAGAGGCTTTAAGGACTCTCTACGACAAGTCTTACCTTCATTATAATCATTGCATTGTCAGGAATGTCCCCTATACTGCTGTAAAGTGTCCAAAATGTTAGTTTCCAGCTGCCAGGTATTGCCCAGGTTTTATTTTCTACTCATAACTGTCTATTATATTTTAAAATGTTCTCTAAGAACATAAAAGTACATTCTTAATTTAAATATGAATAAAGTATTTACCAAACTTTATTTATTTGGGGGGGGGGGGTTTCGAGACAGGGTTTCTCTGTGGTTTTGGAGCCTGTCCTGGAACTAGCTCTTGTAGACCAGGCTGGTGTCGAACTCACAGAGATCCGCCTGCCTCTGCCTCCCAAGTGCTGGGATTAAAGGCTTAAAGGCATGCGCCACCACCACCCGGTTTACCAAACTATATTTTGTGACTGTATTCTGTAATTCTATGGGTTATTCAGAGTATACATGCTGATTAGACTTTGCTGTTAATTTTTAGAAACAGACATTTTGGGCAAATATAGCATTATTGTGTATAGGTATTGCTAGAATGGTTTTGTTAATTTTGGTATGCATGGAATCTTCTAACAGTATCATAAAGAAGTTGTTCGTTTGATGTCTGGAGAGTTCAGACAGAAGATAGGAGACAAATATATAAGCTTTGCCCGGAAATGGATGAACTACGTCCTGACCAAATGTGAGAGTGGCCGAGGCACACGACCCAGGTAACAGCCGAGCAGCACACTTGATTCTTGGACGAGGCACATGGGGCTGGTAGTATTTTGTTTCTGTGCACCATGTGAAATTCATAAGCAGATTATACAAGAACATTTATTCTAACGCAGCACTTTTTAAATGGCAGTATGTATCTATGAAGCTTGTAGCTAATCGTAGCAGAAAGAAAATCTTTGTGTCCTAAACGGCTTGCCTCCTCAGAGGGATGTGCAAGGTGTGCGTCAGCTGTGCCTGTCTGTAATGCTCTGGCACTGCACTTGCACTAGCACAGAGTGGTCACTAAGTTTGTGAGTCACACCTGGCCAGGCATCCTGTAATCCATATGAACAGACGGGACACTTGTAAGCCAAGTCAGCACAGTGCAGACGGTCTGCCTGTGAAATGCAGTGTGAGAACCTGTGGGACAGGCTCACAGGTGACTCGGTGTGCCTGCTGTCCTAAGTGCCTTCATGGTTCTTTTTGACGTTAGAATCGTCTTTAATAAGCTGTCCTGTCTGTCACTGTAAGCTCGCTCTGCTCAGGTGTTTATACAGTGATCACCTTCCCCTCCCCAAAAATACAAAGCATTTTGTCCTAGACAGTAAATTTCCAATTACTTTTACACTGATTTTAGTACTGTGGAGTCTGCAGCATTTCCCCAGCTATTGTTGACTGTTTTCCTGTGACAGGTGGGCCACTCAAGGATTCGATTTCCTACAAGCCATTGAACCTGCCTTTATTTCAGCTTTACCAGAAGACGACTTCCTGGTAGGACACACTCTAAATACCTTTTCTGTTAAACTGGGTGGTGCATTGTCTGTGGTACACTCCTGTCTCTGCCATGAGGACATGGAGCCACAAAAGTGCCCTTTAAAATGCGGTGAGGTTTTCAGTGTCCTCTGTTACTACAGCTCTGTGCAGCTGACTCTGGTGGATTCTCTACCCTCACACTGTGGATTAGATGCAGTCTCTATATTTCATAAATTGCTAGCTCAGGAACTGCCTTTTAGAAGTTACTGAGAACAGGATTGACTGTTGCCCCTGAGTGCCCATTATCAGAGCACCGCATCAGTGCCCAGTGTTCTGAACAGCCTCTGGCCGTGGAGACACTTGATCTTTTCTTATAGATGGCATTGTTCCCTGGGGAATAGTCTGCTGAGTTGCTTTTATTTATGAGAATGGAATGTATAATATATTATTTAAATGGTACTTAGCTTATATCCACTTTATCCTTGTATCTTCTGTCTTTTAAACTAACTAAAAACACTGAAGGTCAAATAGACTGACTGTAGTATGCTGTTTATAGAATTAAGACTTTCTTTTCTCTTCTTCCAATTTTTCTTTGGTTTCTAGAGTTTGCAAGCCTTGATGAATGAGTGCATTGGCCACGTCATAGGAAAGCCACACAGCCCTGTCACAGGTTTGTACCTTGTGAGAATGGGATACACTGGTTGTGATGAGCAAACTGTCTTAGGATTGATGCTATTTATAATAATAAAAGATGTATTTTAAAAATATCCAGAGGGTGACAGAGAAGAGGTTTGTCCAGGAACTCCACAGTCATCCTACTAAACCCTACAGAAAGATTAAGCTTACCTTTGAACTGGGTTTTGTTTGTCTTGTGTTATTGCTGCACCCTTGCTCTTTTGTGTATAGCGACAACAGGGAGGGGTTCCTCTGGTCCTCCTTTCTCTCGTGAAGGAGGACTGTTTGTTTTTCCATGTTTTTCCAACTTCGCCACTCGAGTAAATTTTTATTTGCTTTTGACTTTTTTTTTCTTTTAATTTTTTCTAAACAGGGTTCCCCTGTGTAGTGCTGGCTGACCTGGAACTCACTTTATAGACCAAGCTGGCCTTGAACTCACAAAGATTCGCCTGCCTCTGCCTCCTTGAGTACCACCACTGCCCTGATGGTTTCAGGGGTGTTTGTTTGTTTGTTTAAAAATGACATTCTTAGCTGGGTGGTGCTGGCACACACCTTTAATCCCAGCACAAGGCCAGCCTGGTCTACAGAGTCAGTTCCAGGTCAGCCAGGGCTATACAGAGAAAAACCCTGTCTTAAAAAGGGGGGCGGGGAGAATAAATTGTGTATTAAGAAAGACTGTGTCATTCTTGATACAGTCTGTGAGTAAAACCAAGTCATGAGCACTCCAAAATAGAAAGTTTAAATTGCATAGAATAGTTAAGAAATGGTACATTTGCCAAACATTGGCTATTCTGGTTAAAAGATACTTGGTAGCCACAGAAAAACTTACTATATGAACAGGCCTTAATCACTGCTTTTGTTTTAGGCTATAAAATTCATTAGGTTTAAACAGCATCCTTCTTCCCAAGGCTCTCATGAAGGTGACAGTTGCTATTGTAAAACTGCTCATGTTCATTTGTAGAGACGAGCATGTCTCTGCAGAGCACCGTAGCCTCCTCATGTTCTTGGCTGGTCAGTAGCATCAATAGAATTTGATCTTCTGATTTCTCAAAACATTTTTATACATGATCAGTAACCAGGTCAAATCACTTTAAAATATTTTATTACCCAAGACATACATTTCTTTTATTTTAAATTTATTTATTTATTTATTGTGTGTGTGTGTGTGTGTGTGTGTGCGCGCCTGAGCACACACATATGCATGTATGTCAGGGTGCATGTATAGTGGTCAGAGGGCGTGTCTGGAGGAGTTTCTTCTCCTGTGTGTGTCTTAGAAATCTAACTCGGGTTGTGAAGCTTCGCAGCAAGTACCTTAACCCACTCAGCCATCTTGGTGGCTCAGGTAGAAATTTCCTTATAAAAAAAATTATAAAGTAAGGTGGCCATTTCTGGACATTTCCAGTATAGAAAGTTACAGAACATGAAAGCCGTCACGCTACTGTCACATGCAGTGGTAATCACCAGGACATCCTCAGCCACTGGGGGTAGGGTGGGGGGCTGAGCTCATGAGCAGAGGACTGCTCCTTTAGACCATCCAGCCGCTCCCGTGTTACCTGAGCGGCTGCCATCTGGACTTGGACCAGTGATAAATAATGTTTTATAAATTCTAGGGTCCCACACAATGGAGCTTTCTTTTCCTTTTGGTTTTGTATTCTTTTCTTACATTAGAATTTAATGTCGGTAACAACAGATGAGCTGCATTCTTTGGTCATAATTCTGTATTTCCTCTTCAGCATGTGACTGACCAGTGGTAGCAACTTGGCATATAACCTTCTGTATGTGCTCGACCGAGTTCCTCTGTGCTCCGAAACCATGAGCACAGAAAGGGTTGTTTGTCCCCTGCTGTTTACTGTGTGTGGCTGGGTCCCATTGGGTATGACCAAACTCCTCCATGTCAGTAGCGCACGTCCAGCTCTAGACCATACTCTGCCCCCCCCGGTGGATGGACCACCCTGGATTGATGGACCACCCTGGATGGACCACGATTCTTTGTGCCACTTTTTATGGGGCTTTGTTTAGCCATGGAGCCTCCCATAGTAAATGTTTACCCCAGAGAAATGTGGAGGTCTGTGTTTATTGGCCATTTGGATTTGCTTTCCAAGGAAACATCAATTTTACAGCATTATACATATTTATATATATGGAGACAGGAATGGGAAAAGAGAGACTCTTAAATGTTTTGTACATGAAGAATACTAAACACATTTTTGCATAGTTTTTTTTTGAATGGTACTTTTCATTTCACACCTTTGTGTGAATTCCTGCAGTAATTTTTGACTGAGCAGTTTCCAGTGTCTGCTGGCTTATGACATCAGCTCCATCAATTGTTTTTGTGTCTTCTCTATGTTCTTATTGCATTTCTTCCATTTGGCATTGAAACAGACACGGCCAGCCCCGCCCCTCTTGCGAATGCCCTATTTCTATTTGCAAGGGAGCTGCAGAGTCCACTCTGGTGTGTCTCACTGTGTATGCCATGTTACCAAGAAGAAACAGACTTTTGACATGAAGGCTTCCATTTAGGGTGAACTCTATGTGAACTAAAACTGCTACCACATGAAGAAAAAAATATGCCATAACCAGGGGGATGTAGAAACCAGGAGCCCCTTGAAAGCAACTGTAAGAGAAGATGTGTTAGAACAGACAGTGGTGTAAGAGAAGACGCAGAGCAGACAGTGGTGTAAGAGAAGACGTGTTAAAACAGACAGTGGTGTAAGAGAAGACGCAGAGCAGACAGTGGTGTAAGAGAAGACGCAGAGCAGACAGTGGTGTAAGAGAAGACGCAGAGCAGACAGTGGTGTAAGAGAAGACGCAGAGCAGACAGTGGTGTAAGAGAAGACGCAGAGCAGACAGTGGTCTAAGAGAAGACGTGTTAGAGCAGACAATGGTGTAAGAGAAGACACAGAGCAGACAGTAGTGTAAGAGAAGACGTGTTAGAGCAGACAATGGTGTAAGAGAAGACGCAGAGCAGACAGTGGTGTAAGAGAAGACGTGTTAGAACAGACAGTGGTGTAAGAGAAGACGGAGAGCAGACAGTGGTGTAAGAGAAGACGTGTTAGAGCAGACAGTGGTGTAAGAGAAGACGTGTTAGAGCAGACAATGGTGTAAGAGAAGACGTGTTAGAACAGACAGTGGTGTAAGAGAAGACGCAGAGCAGACAGTGGTGTAAGAGAAGACGCAGAGCAGACAGTGGTGTAAGAGAAGACGGAGAGCAGACAGTGGTGTAAGAGAAGACGTGTTAAAACAGACAGTGGTGTAAGAGAAGACGTGTTAGAACAGACAGTGGTGTAAGAGAAGACGTGTTAGAGCAGACAGTGGTGTAAGAGAAGACGGAGAGCAGACAGTGGTGTAAGAGAAGACGCAGAGCAGACAGTGGTGTAAGAGAAGACGTGTTAGAGCAGACAGTGGTGTAAGAGAAGACGGAGAGCAGACAGTGCTGTAAGAGAAGACGGAGAGCAGACAGTGGTGTAAGAGAAGACGGAGAGCAGACAGTGGTGTAAGAGAAGACGTGTTAAAACAGACAGTGGTGTAAGAGAAGACGTGTTAGAACAGACAGTGGTGTAAGAGAAGACGTGTTAGAGCAGACAGTGGTGTAAGAGAAGACGGAGAGCAGACAGTGGTGTAAGAGAAGACGTGTTAGAACAGACAGTGGTGTAAGAGAAGACGTGTTAGAGCAGACAGTGGTGTAAGAGAAGACGGAGAGCAGACAGTGGTGTAAGAGAAGACGGAGAGCAGACAGTGGTGTAAGAGAAGACGTGTTAGAGCAGACAGTGGTGTAAGAGAAGACGGAGAGCAGACAGTGGTGTAAGAGAAGACGTGTTAGAGCAGACAGTGGTGTAAGAGAAGACGTGTTAGAGCAGACAATGGCAGCCTGTCAGTCACTGCCTCTGCCAGGTTCCTGGGGAGGTGAAACTGTCCATTTTGTAGTGGGAAATCTCTGGTTTTGTGTTTCCTTTAGAGTTTCATCTAATTTGAAGACTGGGATGTAGAGTACATTTTTAGCGTGTGCTGGGTCTGGCTTGAGTTCCCAGAACATGAAGTTTGTTAATAATAATGACATCTAGTTCTAAGTGTCATATGGCTTTTAGGTTTTAGTTTTATCTTAAATTGTATATGTGTTAGCCTCGTATTAACCCATTTAAAAGGAGAAGAGCGGAAGTCTACTCTAGGGAGAGACCAGGGTAATTGTGCCTGTCCCTAGCCTGGTTTGGTGTTAAATAGCCCTGCATGGTTGTATGTGTTGAGGTGCAGAGATCTCCACCCAGACCTTCACAGACATCAATGTGCGGAATCTTCATGTGTGCGTGGCAGAAAGAGTTCCTTTTTTACTGGTGAGCTGCCACATGAGTGGTTCAGTCGGTCCAGATGCCTGCCAGTCATTTGTTCAGCAGATGTTATGTAATGTTCACCCGTGGGTTTACAGAAGCATTGTTTTAGTGGAAAAATGTTTGAATATGTAATATAATTTTGCTTACTTTTACAAAGGTAATATATTTGGTAATATTTGCTTATTTTTTCTCCCAGTGAATGAATTTGTTTCAGTTATTGGCAAAGCCAGTTGACTTTCCATTTACACTAGGTGGTCTGGCTTGGCAGCTTTCTGTCACCCACTTTAATAAGTTTCCTTTGTTGACATTTGCGGCAGCTATCCATCGGAATAGCCCCCGTCCTGTGAAGGTGCCCCGATGCCACAGTGACCCTCCCAACCCACACCTCATCATCCCAACCCCGGAGGGATTCAGGTATGAGGCGCTCCTGCACCACGGGCTTGTCTCTGCCATGCTTGCTTGAGCTCTGGAGTCAGCTGGGTGCTCGCTCTGAGCGCAGGGTTTTCCTTTCTGATTGGCCAGACGCTTCCTAGAGCTTTCTCCTGCTGTCTTGAGGACACACCGCAGTGTCTTAGTTGGAGAAGAAAGACAGTCTGGGTCTTTCAAGATGATGTAGCTCCCAGCTTCCTTATAACCCCCGCTGCTGGGTGCTCTCTGCCTTTGGAGTAGCTCTTCCCTTTTCTTTCTTGGAAAAGTTACCTTAGGAAAACAAATTTAAGTGTGCAAAGCTTAGTGAACATGCGAGGACAGTTCTCGGTGTCTTTTTAAGAGTGGAGATAGGTGGGGTGGCCATTCCACCATTGACATTCGTGCATGTGGATAGTTGTGAAGTAGACAGTCCAGAAGCACCCCATGTTCACAGTGATGCCCTGTCATTGACCTTCACACGCCGTGGCGGTGGGTCCTCGTTCTCTTACTGCAGTCCCTCTGACCAGGATTACAGCGAAGGCCTGTAACGCTAGCTAGTTCTTTTTTTTTCTTTTCATGGACCAGAACTCTAAGTAGCGATGTGCATTTTATCCTTTTAAAGATTTTTTCACTTTCTACCCATGTATTATGTACCATTCCACCTCCTTTCCTACCTGTGTACCTGAAGCCTCTCTTCTCGCCTTAGCACTCGGAGCGTGCCTTCTGACGCTCGGAACCATGGCAACTCTGTTGCTGCTGCTGCTGTTGCTGCCGCCGCCGCCACCACTGTCCCTGGCCGCCCTGGCCCAGGTGGTGGCGATTCTGCGCCGGCCAAACCCGTCAACACTGCCCTTGAAACCAGGTAGTCTCACTACACCAGCAGTGTGTCGCCCACCCCATTGCCCCTCATACCCTTCTATTGGGTTGGTAGCGTTGTGTCACAGAGCGACAGCCTGGAGTCCCCTGTGGGTTGTCATAGCCTCCAGACCCTGGGAGCAGGCAGCAGAAGTAGACTATGTATTGATGGTAATGCTTCTCCTGTGGAGCCAACACTAGCTGAAAGGACCCTGCTCTGCCAGTCTTCACCCCAGGGCACCACAAGACTCCACGCTGGGCCTCGCAGTCTTTCCCGGGTCGGAGCAAAGCAGTTCTGACTTAATTTCACCCAGTGTCTGAGCAGAACGGACACTGCCAGAGTTCTTCCAGCTAGGAAGGGGGTGTCCCAGAGTAGGGGAACTGGGGAGGTCTAGTCAAAAGTGGAACCATCTTGGACTGTGCCATGTGTAGCGCCTACGGTGAGGCAGTGTGGAAGTGGGCAGACGAGGCTTTGCAGCTCAGAAAGCTAAAGCCATGTGAGCCGAACTTTAACACCAGTCTAAAAGGCCTACAAGCTTTCTATTATTGCTACTAATTAAAATCATTAATATTCCTAATTTTTAGTAATAAATGTCTATAACCTTAAAAGTTAAATGTTTTACAGCTTAATCCATTCACAATAAAATAAAATAAATATTAAAGGCAACTCCCATTTACTGTTTATTTTTAGTTTTGGAGCATTTCGTGGCATATGTCTTCACATTTGCTTCCGTCTCACCGCGGGAAGCTCCCTAGACTTTTGTTACAGTGATGTGTGCAGAATCCAGGAAAGCAGGGAGAATGGTAACTGCCAGGGCCCAGCTTCCCAGCTGCCGCGTCTGCATCCAGAGCTGTTCCACAGCTGAGGAGCTGCTGTCAGACACTGCGTACTATGCCACAGCCAGCTTCTCCTACACCCGCCTTATGCTGTCTCAGCATAAGGAGAGTGTCTTTATGTGACGCTGTGTACGTCAGGATCCTAATTCAGATCCACTTGGCCTCTAATGCCTTTAGTAGCAGCATAGTTTTGAAGGTTTTTTTGTTAATTTTTTTTAATGCAGAGTAAGAGGGTTTGCTTTGAGATAATATGTCTGTGAGCATCGCTAGAGTCAGCAGAGTCCTCCAAAGGCGTATGGGAGTCCAGGCCTGCACTGCTCCCTCCCGTGGTAGTCTAGGGGTGTCACAGGGCCTGCCAGGTGGTACACTCTGCCGAGAGCGCAAGTCCTAGTACAGCATGGCCTGCAAAGGGGGCTCGGAGACACCTGTGTCAGCCCACAGTGTCCAGGGTGTTTAATTTTGTTTTGTTGACCTTGAAAATAGCTATGCTAGGCTTAAATTCTGTCATCAGTATTTATTTGAAAACAAAACATTTTTCAGGCTGGCTTTGCCTGACCAGCTTCCACTGATGCTCAAGAACTGCCTGTTTCTTTTCAGCAGTGTTCCAAGCTGGTTGTCACTCCACAGAAATTGACAAACTTTTCACCCCACTCCCTTACCTCCCACCCACAAATACACCACTTCTCCAAGGACACTTCTTACCATTTACCCTCACAAAAATCTCTGAAAGTCATGAGATTGACTTATTTCACCTTCAGGAAAGCAAGAAGGTAGAGATATTGCATGACCCCCATGGCCTCCCAGATAAGACCCGGTTTAGGAGTGGACAGGAGTTCAGGAGTCCTCCCTTTTGTCAGTGGCCTAGCCCTCACGTGGCACCAGAGATAGTTCAAGGAACCAGGGCAGTAGAGGTGCTGCCTGCAGCAGATGTCCACAGAGCAGCCCATGCTGAGGCCATGGCTGGTTGCCATACTGCCCCAGCCCCTGCTCAGGTGCACCACACTCCTGGATGCCTGAGCATCCACTGCAACCACTTGCTGAGCAGCAGATCCCATTTCCATGTAGTCTTGGGTTACGTGGCTCCAGTAACTCTTCCTAATTTAATCACAGCCTTTCCCTGTGAGCTCACTTTGTTGTAGGAAAGCAGCCAACTAACCTCTCTGACATGCTGGCCTCTTACTCTCCAGTTGCTTGCCGCTGCTTGAGAAATTGTTAGGCGCTCCTTTCTTACTGCTAGACATTGGCGATCTTTTGAACCATGTAACCATTCTAGTACTCTTGTTATAGTTATTTTAAATTTAATTTTCTGGCAACCTTAAATATCACCTAATTTGGTTAATGCCCCTCTGTCCACGGTAGGCTTAAACTGTGGGCTTTTCCATGCACTGCCTTTTAAATAGACGGGCTTTATTTGTGTTTCAGTTGTTAATGTGAAATAAACTAATTTTGAGGCCAAGTGCTCTACAGTCAGACCCCAGGGAGACCCTGGCTCAGTGGCTACTCTGTTTATTTGGGTGATAGGTTTTGTGGGCCTTGCCCCCAAAGATGCCAGTTGCACCCTCCCAATCAGCAGTCACAAGTGTCCACAGACACTGCCGCGGTCCCCAGGCAACACTGTCCTGTTGAGAATCGGGACTCTAGAAGAGTCTCATAGACCTTTGCATTTGATGCGCCATTGACTTGATAGCTCAGTTGTTGTTGTTTTACTGTTAAACAGGGGTTCCAGCGTCCCTGAAAATGACCGCTTGGCATCCATAGCCGCAGAGCTGCAGTTCAGGTCTCTAAGTCGGCACTCAAGCCCCACGGAAGAGCGAGACGGTGAGTGTCACTGTCAAAGTTTCCCGCCAGCACACCTGGTTATCCTGATCCACCAGTTGTGATGTCCTTGAACAAGACTTGTGGGGAGCCACCAAGCTTTCGGAGCAGGTTTAGCCCTGTCCATGTGGCCTTTCAGTACAGCTTTGCATATTCTAAGTCTTCTTCATTGTGTTTTACAAACAGTGCCCCTCCTGATATTTTAATTCTTCAGTGTCCTCTTTCTGTGGAAATACTCAAGTACTACTGTGTTTGTTGTAATCTGGCAACAGCCCCCTAAAGTGCCATTTTCTAAACGTGAATAGAGACTCAGTCACTAGGAAGGAGCAGGTTGGCCGTGATTGGTGCCATTCAGCACCTCAGCATAGGGTAGTTTTTAGGTGAATCTTAATTTGTATGAAAACCTCTGCAGAGCCAGCATATCCCCGAAGTGACTCAAGTGGATCCACACGGAGAAGCTGGGAACTTCGCACACTCATTAGCCAGACCAAAGGTAGGAGAAAAGTGCTGCGCTTGATCGTGTTGGTGCTTCGAGTCATGAGGTCTACACCGTTAACATCTGTGGCCTCGCTGGTACCTCTGACGTCATAGTCACTGCCTTGACCTTTCTGGACATTTTCTGTGCCTTTGGGCACGCTCATCCTCTAAGTAGCACAGTCCCCTCGATGTTGTGAGCGTTTGTGAGTGTAAGCATTCACCTTTAGGCTGAGAAACTGGGGGAAAGAATTGTGGCTGGTGGGAGGGTGGTACTAGTAAGTTACTATGAGAAATTTGTCCTGTCAGCTGGATTAGCAGAGAAATAGGGGCTTGGTTAGAGTTCCATTACAATGATTCAGGCGCGCGAAAGTATTAGATTAGCATGAGTTTCCAGAGCAGGGTGGCAGCAAGAAACAGCTTTGGGGCAACAGTTGTCAGGCCCTGTCAGGTCCTGTGCAGATTCTTGTGTATTGAGGGGGACATTTCAGGAACTGGGAAGCAGTCTATGCCAGCCCACCCGTAATGGTGGTTCCCCCGAACACGGTGGTGGCCATTACTTTGCCCTGCTTTTGAAAACAAGTTTAGAGCACATAAGACCCACTTTCAGTCACAATAGAACCTAAGGACAGCAAAGGTAAAGTAGTTTGGGTATTTTGAGACTCACCATGATCATCAAGACAAACTAATGTAAATATTATAAGAATTATTACCCGTCCACTCCCCACCCAGGCTAAGAGTAGGGCAGCTGGCCCTGCCCCTTGCTAGCTTTGGCACTCTGTTGATCTGGCCCTGCCCCTCTACAAGGCAGTGTTGGAAAACTGGCCCTTGTGGCATGGGCATGGAAGAGCTGGCCCTGATGGCATGAGCTGTGAGTATGCGGAGCTGGTCCACCACTTGCCATCCAGCTGCTGCCGCCAGGAGAGCTAGTCCTGCCCTTCTCCTGGGACCATCAGGAGAGCTGGCCCTTGTGGTACAGGTGCAGGAGAGTAGGCGGGCTAACCTGCTCAGCTGCCACCCAGGTTCAGATCCAGGACTTTTGAGTTGGCACACTCCAACATCCACCCCATCCATCACACACTGGAGCGTGTGAAGGGGCTGGTCCTGCAGAAGCAAAGCTGCCGGATCTCCACGACATAGGGCAACAACAGGCCATCCCAGAGGAGTCCTGGAGAGGATCTGGATCCAGCACTGATAGTGTAGCAGAAGCCAGAGACCTCCATCAGACCAATGTCTAATTGCAGTGAACATTCATTGTTAAAGCTGTTTGAACAAAAGAGTATACTGTGTGACACAATGCAGTTACCATGGTGAGGTTTTTATTATTTTTAATTTTTTGTTTTCTTTTGCTGGGGAGGTTGCAAGGACAGAGAGCAGATATGGAGAGATGGGGAGATGTGTGGGATTGGGGTGCATGAAGTAAAATTCACAAGGAATCAATAAAAAGTAAAAAAAGAAAACTACTTGGTAGTCAGGTAAAATTGGAAACCACTAGGACTATGTCCCTTTCTGAAAAGCTGCAATTTTCAGTGGCATATTAAAGTCCAATTCTCCTGGAGAGAGGCTCATTGGTGTATGCTTAAGAAATCTTTTCACAGATATTTTGACAGTGGGGTCCACAGCCTCATAGTTGTGAAAAACTTGTCTAGGCAAACCTGGTGTATCATATATTTATTTGGGTAAAAGAAACAAATTAGATTTCCAGGTTTTAAAAAAATGATTGTGGTAGAAAGGAAGAAAACAAACTAATTAAAACATTAATTTTTGGGAATGCTACTTTCCAAATTAGCCTTACAGCTATCCAGATCTTCAAACGGTCCTGTGTCTGCTGGAGCTCTTGGGCACTAATAAGTCATGGTTCTAGCATATCAAAGCTGGAAAATCTGATATGATCAGCTCACATGTGCATGTTGATGCAAACACAACATGGAATACCATGGCTAAGAAGGATATTATGTCGGGTAAGGAAAGTGGGTGGAGCTAGAGACCATGTGTTGCTGTCTTCTTTGAGTCCTCTTGGAAACTGCCTGTCCCACGTTCTGGTTCATCTCTCCGCAGACTCTGTCTCTAGGCAGGGACCCATGGAAGCTATCCAGAAATCAGTCCGGCTGTTTGAAGAGAGGAGGTATCGAGAAATGAGGAGGAAGAATATCATCGGTCAAGTTTGCGATACCCCTAAATCCTACGACAACATCATGCACGTTGGACTGAGGAAGGTGACATTTAAGTGGCAGAGAGGAAACAAGATCGGTGAGGAAGCCCAGGCTTGCCCTGCTGGGAGCCACTCTTTAGTGCTTTGAAGATGACTCTTTTTGATGTTCTGTTCCCAAACCATTTAGAGAACACTATAAGATGAAAACTGAGAAAAGACTTTAAGGTAGTTCTGTAAATTGACTAGATTTGCTCAGTAATTCCAGAAGTTTCCATTTGAGAATTACTGAAATTTTGCCCATCTGTGTTCTTTTAGTCCCACAAGAATATTTGAAAAAAGACTAGATATAAATCAGGACAGGTCAGGTTTTTGGTTTTTTTGGTTTTATTTTTAACCCCTAAAATATTGCCTTGTCAATTGATTTCTAGGTGGAATTAACTCTTAACAAAATAATCAGTAGTAGAATATGCTGTCCCAGACTCTTATTTATTTACCCACTTAAATACATTGATCCATCAAACATTAGGTCTGAGAGGCAAACACAGTTTTAAGAATTTTGTGGAACCTAGGAAACTAGAGGTGTACTATCGAGGACCAAACAGTCAAATAATTTATAAAATGTCTTAATTATACTCTTGATCTCCTTCAGTAATATGTCCCTGGTTTAGCATCCCAGAAGTAGTGTCAGAAGTTTGCCATCAGGCTTGTGGCAGTGTGGCCAGGGTTCAGACATGCTACTGGCCACTCCCTTCTGCCCCAGGCCCAGCCCAGGCCTCTTGAGGGGGAGCAAGGGCTCAGAAAGATTCTGGAACAGTGTGCCCCTTACTTCCCTTCATGGCTGTCCTGGGGTTTCCTATAGCTCATCTCCGTCACATGACATTTTCAGGTAGGATGTGTGCAATGACCTAATTGCCCAGAACTCTGGGTGTCAGGAAACCCTAAGACTGCTTCGGTCCTAAGTAGCAAACTAGAGTGAGTGTAATGGTTGCCCTATAAACACATGTCTGAAGCTAGAGATTATTGTAAGCTGCATTGACAACGGTCTGTAGTGACTGGAAGAGTGGCCTGTTTATGTTGTTGGCAGGAGAAGGACAGTATGGGAAAGTGTATACCTGCATCAGCGTCGACACAGGGGAGCTGATGGCCATGAAGGAGGTGAGTTGTGGCTCTTTGGCCCTTTGTGTCAGATAAATCTGGGTGATTTAGGTTCAGGAAAGCCACTGTGTGTGGCCTTTGTGCCAACAGCTGACACCAGGACTCTGAGTGTAGTGAGTTGCTTGGCCTGCATCTTGTGTTTTAGCATTTGACATTTGGGACCAGCAGGCAGCTGAGATCTCTTAGTGGAAGAATGATGACTCTAGAAAGGACCTGAGAGCAGGGTCTCGGTAATTGCACTGCAAAGCAGGTGGGCATGGCCTATAGCGGCAGCTTGGGAATCCTACAGAAAAGCTTAGGGGGTGGAGCCACCACTAGCAAGCACCCTGTGGACACTTGTGAGGAAAAGACAGTAAGCTGCAGAAGTGAGGATGGGCAAGAGCAGGGGAAACAGGAATGGCCACTGGAGGTCTACAGACTGTAGGTAAGAGGGTGAGGGGAGTGTTGGTGACTGGCTCAGCTGTAATCACCTCTGAACTTTGGTGGTTTGCTCCTCACCCTTGCCTGCCTTGCTCCAAATTGACCAAATGCATCATCAACCCCTTCTGTTTTAATATTTACAAATTTTAACTGACAAAATACAAAATTTTAATAGATAATACAATTATATATAATTCATGGTTTATGAAATATGACTATATATTCATGGTTTATAAACTGTGTTGACTATGTGGAGAATGTGAAGTGACCGGATCATGTGTGTTCATCTCTTCATTATTTGCTGACTTGAGATTTCCTCTTGAGGCTCTCTTCAGATGAGTGCCGTATTATTACCCGTGGTCACCCTTTTGACAATCTGGATTAATTTGGAGACGTTAGGCTAAGTGCAGCGGGAAGCACAATGCTGCATGGTCTTGCCCTTGTATGGAGTTAGATGGAGTCTAGTCAGGTCCCTGTATGGTAGTCAGGGCTCCAAGGCTAACTAAGTCAGCAGGACTAAAGACCAAGAGAAAACACACACAGGTCAAGTCACAGACACACTGGCCCTGTTCCTGTAGGACAGGAACTGACATGTCAGGAGTCAGCTGCCCACCCTCACTGTTGATGACAGTGTCCATAGTAACCCCAGTTTTCCTTCTCCAGATTCGATTTCAACCCAATGACCATAAAACTATCAAGGAAACTGCAGATGAATTGAAAATCTTTGAAGGCATCAAGCACCCCAACCTAGTTCGATACTTTGGTGTGGAGCTTCACAGAGTAAGCCGGCTTCAGTCACACTGTGTGGGGAGTCAGTGGGCCGCAGCGCAGTCTTGTCTGGGTCCCAGGTCTTCTCATTGTAGAGACAGTAACTGCCTGATTGTCAGGAAACCTCCATACCTACATCACTTCTGCCCTCTCTCTGAAGTCAGAGGCACTCGTTCTGAAATTAACTCACAGACTGTCATTATCAGCCCGATGGCAAGAGCCCTGACAGTCATCCTGGCAGGCAGACATTCTTCTTGAGTGCCCTTCCTGTCGCTGTGCCAATTGTCAAAAGTATTAGACCTCAAGCTTCTCTCTGTTTAATAAGCCTGCATGGGATAGGAAAAGCCCGAGACCTGAGAGTACCTGTGTTGAGTGATGAGGGAACCAGGACAGCTTGCAGCGTTGATGGGCCTGTGTTTTCACTAATGGATTTGTGATTGACAGTACTTGATAATACCTGTAGGCATGGCTGTCACTCCCTGTCTAAGGTTGCATGGCGGATAGTCTCAGGATGAACAGTCCCAGACAAGAGGCAGGCAGCCCCCTGCAGGAGAGTCAGGCACAGCCATATGACTCTGTCCACACTCAGGGTGGAGTCCACCCCCCACCAGAAGGAGCTTGGATTAAGTCTTGTCCTGCTCCCGCCCCAGGAAGAGATGTACATCTTTATGGAGTACTGTGACGAGGGCACGCTGGAGGAGGTGTCACGGCTGGGGCTGCAGGAGCATGTCATCAGGCTGTATTCGAAGCAGATCACAGTTGCCATCAACGTCCTCCATGAGCATGGCATCGTTCACCGAGACATCAAAGGTACACCCCACCTGTTACTTCTTCAGGTGGCTTAAAGCCAAGAAATGGCAGCGAGCCCAGGTGTCCATGCATGAGTGGGAAGTCCTCCCTGTCACCTGCGCAGCCTGCCTCAGAGACGTTGTTTTCCTGGAGATGAGGTGTGCTGCTGCTTCAGGCTGCGCGCTCTGGTTTAGTCTGTGCTGGCCACACACTTGGAACAAAGCTCCCTTGCCTACCCCGTGTCAAGGTCTTTGTGCATTTATGTCTGAATGCGTGTTGTAAGAACATGGAGCGTGTGATGCATTCATGTCTGAATGTTTGTTCTAAGTACATGGAGTATGAAGCATTTATGTCTGCGTGTTGTAAGAACATGGAGCGTGTGATGCATTCATGTCTGAATGTTTGTTCTAAGTACATGAGCGTGTGATGCATTCGTGTCTGAATGCGTGTTGTAAGTACATGGAGTATGACACATTCGTGTCTGAATGCGTGTTCTAAGTACATGGAGTATGAAGCATTTATGTCTGAATGCATGTTGTAAGAACATGGAGCGTGTGACGCATTCGTGTCTGAATGCGTGTTCTAAGTACATGGAGCGTGTGACGCATTCGTGTCCAAATGTGTGTTCTACGTACATGGAGTGTGAAGCATTTATGTCTGAATGCGTGTTGTAAGAACATGGAGTGTGACGCATTCGTGTCTGAATGTGGAGCATGCAGCCGTGGCTTTGGAGGCGAAGGAAGTTGTCACAGGAGTGCCGCTGTGCTCCCACTTGAGACCCACCACACACTCAGTGCCTAGCCACTCCCTGACGCTGACTTTTTTGAGGAGATAAAGATAGTTAAAGCAGGGGAGTACTTCCATCCTGTCCTGCACTCTGAGGTTAGCCCAAACACAGGGACTCAAGAGTGACTGCCTTCTGACCCAGGACTAGACCCCATTTCTGTGCAGTCCTTGGTTACACTGGAAACTGTTTTGGCCTGGGTCTGAGAATTAATTGTTCATGTCCTGCTGGGTACCGTGCCCTGAATGCCCTGGCCTGTGCCAGCTTGATGTGCCTTGCCTGGCTGCACGTAGCTTTGCTGAGTCAGTCTGGGCTTTGCTGAGCCATCATTGCTCTTCTCCAGTAGTCCCGTCTCCCACACCACACTCAGTTTCTGTACATCCCCACAGCAGAATCTCTGAGCCCTAAAAGCAGTTTGGCTCATTAGCATCCTTGTCAAATGCTTTGTCATTGAGCATGACTAAGAAAGAACAAAACAATTTCAAAATGTCACTGTGCAGTCCGTTGTTGAGGCCACCCCTGGCGACTTTAGCTGTTACAGATAGACTGTCAGAAGTTCACTGCGTACTCCATGTCCAGCATGTACTGTGGTACTTGGTAAAGTGTGTTGTCTGACTTGATTACAGCAGGACTGTCTTACCTGTAATAATCTAGGCTACTCTGAGAGATAGGCAGTAACCCCAGGTTCCGACAGGAGTTGATACATGTCTGTGTTGCTTGTAGGAAGGTTGGGATGGAAGAGTATACAGCAATATTTTCATTACTGTGAAAATGAGCTCAGAGGTGGCCTTAGTGTGTGGTTTTCTTCTGTGCATCCTTCCTGTTAGAGAAACTGCCCATGGCAAACAGTCCCAATGTTCATTGGCTGCCACACACATCTAGATTTTGTATTAAATTTCTCTGTAAGTATGTCTGAATTTTTAATGAATTACATACCTCTTAATTTAGAATGTGTCTGCTTGGATGTTTGTGTTGATTTGCAATAGTTTGTAATTGTGGTCTATCAGTCTTCCTGTGGTTGAACATGGTAAATGAAACTTCACAACTTCATTTTATTTAGCTTATGAATGAAGTTTTAAGGATTTGGATTCCCATGAAAACATCATGAGGTATCCACATTGTGTTTCCGGCCTGCTCAGCAGCTGCTTGCTTGTTTCTGTGTAGGCGCCAATATCTTCCTTACGTCGTCTGGACTAATCAAACTGGGAGATTTCGGATGCTCAGTAAAGCTTAAAAACAACACCCAGACCATGCCTGGAGAGGTGAACAGCACCTTGGGGACAGCAGGTAAGGACTAGCCCAGCTGGCCTCTATGCTCCGACGCGAGGGAAACCTCCTTGCCTCTCAGACACCTGGTGGTTTACTTTGGTGGGTTGAAACTGTGCTGGTTTAAGCAACCATAGTTACATGGTAGTTACTTGTCGTTACTGATTGGGTCGGGTTAAGTTTCCTGTTTTCAGTGAGAATACAATGTATTGGAAATTTTGACATTCTGAGTTGCTTTTGAAAAGATAATTTTGCCCCTAAAATGTGAATCAAGTTGACTTGAATGCCAGTTTTCAACATTGGCTGCCTGTAACTGAGGGAGGGAAGGGTATGGCAGAGGCCTGATATACTGCTTGCTGCTGTTACTATTACTGCTGTGCTGTTAACCCTTGCTGTCACTGTATTTGACTGTAAAGCTTATATGGCACCTGAAGTTATTACCCGTGCAAAAGGAGAAGGCCATGGACGTGCGGCAGATATCTGGAGTCTGGGGTGTGTCGTCATAGAGATGGTGACTGGCAAGGTAAGCCTGCTGTGCACCTGGAGGAAGACTCCTCGCAGGTTGAGCACAGAACTGTGTAGTAAGGAGGAGCCCACTTATTCCTTCTGTCTGCCCAGAACTGAAATAATCACACAGAAACTATATTATTTAAATCACTGCTTGGCCCATTAGCTCTAACTTCTTTGGCTAATTCTTACATATTAATTTAACCTATTTCCAGTATTTTATATTTTACTATGAGGCTCGTGGCCTACCAGCAAGACTGCAACATGTCTGTCTCTGGTGGTGGCTCCATGGCTTCCCCCTGACTCCACCTCCTCTCTCCCAGCTTAGTTTTCTCCACCTAGCTCTGTTCCCCTATAGCTCTGCTATCAGCCCAAAGCAGTTCCTTTATTTATCAGTGGTAATCACAGTATACAGAGGGAAATCCCACATCAGAACTGAGCTGGGATACATTATAAGAGCAAATAAGAAGCCTGAGCTAGTGGGCCAATCAGTTTATATCTAATATAGATCTCTGTGTATTTTCTTTGGGGATTTATTGGCTGTGGGAACTGGGCAGGACAGAAACCCCAACAAAGCAGGCCCTTATGTTATACTGAGGTTTTATCGTAAGTGCTGCAGACACCTTTCTACTTGAGTTCATTGAGATTAATGCAGCCAATCAAAAGGTATAGTAAGGTTCAGAAAAATGACAAACACCTATCTGTAAGGCACACACCTTAGAGAAACCTCAGGAATTCAGAAGTTTCAGCTTTGAAGTAAAGCATAAACCCATGCAGCCATAGCCACCTGGTCTTTGACAAAGAAAGGTGCCAACAAATGGAGAAGAGAGTCTGTTTGACTGGTGACCATGTGCGGAAGAATGACACCAGGTCCTTATCTCTCACTCCAGACAACGCCAAATGGATCAGATTCCTTTACATAAGACCTGAAATTCTGAAAGTGTGAAGATTTGACAGAATTGGGGCACTGTTCAGGATCTGGGCATTGGCAAGGGCTATCTGTGTAGGACTCAAGTGTTCAGGAAATAACAGAGAGGGCCTCATGAAATCCACGTGTTTCTGTGCAGCTTCTGGGGAGATGGTGCCGTCCCAAAGACGCCTTTCATGCAAGCATCGGATCCCTAGCATGCATGTAAGAGAGGCTATGAAAGCACATGTCTGTGACCCCAACACTGCACAGGCAGAGACAGGAGGATGTCTGTGACCCCAACACTGCACAGACAGAGACAGGAGGATGTCTGTAACCCCAACACTGCACAGACAGAGACAGGAGGATGTCTGTGACCCTAACACTGCACAGACAGAGACAGGAGGATGTCTGTGACCCCAACACTGCACAGACAGAGACAGGTGGATGTCTGTGACCCCAACACTGCACAGGCAGAGACAGGAGGATGTCTGTGACCCCAACACTGCACAGGCAGAGACAGGAGGATGTCTGTGACCCCAACACTGCACAGGCGTAGACAGGTGGATGTCTGTGACCCCAACACTGCACAGGCGTAGACAGGAGGATGTCTGTGACCCCAACACTGCACAGGTGTAGACAGGTGGATGTCTGTGACCCCAACACTGCACAGGCAGAGACAGGAAGATCTTTGGAACTCATTGGCCAGCAGCATAATCAGACTGATGTGCCCCTGGTTCAGTGAGAGCCTGGCACAGGAAATGAACTGGAAAGCGATACAGGACAACACGTGATGTCATCCTCAGACCTCTACACACATTTTAGCTTGTGCATGTGAACTCACAAACATACATGCACATACCCATGTGAACATGTATGTACACACAAAAACTTCTGAACTGCAAAAAGAATAAGTAACTGAGTTAAGAGGTAGCATGTAGAACTGGACAGCAGTCTGCACATCTGACAGGATAAATATGAAAATTTACAAAGACCTCAAAACAAAATAACAAGCAAAC